TGCTCCATGCGCTGCTGGTGCGCTGCTGCGAGCTGTTGCTGCGAGCATTCAAAGAGAGAAAAAAGCAGCGCGCGCTTGGCCACCGAGCGGCTTGGGAGTCCGCGCCCCGACCTGGCCCGGGCCATCGGGCGGTCGGTCGGGCGGCGGCATCCGGTGCATGTACTTGGTACCGACGTGCATACTGTACATGCGTCTTGTTCGCTTACATGCCCCCTCCGCTGGCCCGGGGAGCCGGTCGGTGTCCGCTGGCGGCTCGTCCCTCCCCCTTTCTTTCTCTGATTGTCTATTTCCCCGTTTTCTCCAGGCTGAAGGATGAAGGATCAAAGGGGACGGGGGGCCGTCATGGTTAGGCCGGCACCAGCCGGGGCAGCCGAATAAGGACTTCCGGCACATGACCCGAAAGCGGACCGAGAGGAAGGCCAAGACCCATCGCGCACGGGCAAGGCCAGACCGAGATCGAGACAAAAGATTCGCGAGAAAGCCGGGGGGGGTGGGTGGTGAGTAGTGGGGAGGGAAAAGGGGGGCGGAGGGGGGGGCGTTGTGTGACCTTTTATTTTTGATTCTTTTTCCCTTTGCGAAAGAAAGCCAGGAACCGACGGACGCGGCCAGCCAGCGGGAGGAGATGCTGATTGACTGACCCGCCGGCGAGGGAGAAACCACGGGGCGGATCGCCAAAGTTTATTTATGCGCCTCTTTCTTTTCTTATCCGCTCTTTGTGAAGTAGCTGAGGCGCGACAAGGATGGCCATCTATAACAGGAAGCATCACCCACCCACCGCCGCTCGGACACGGTCTTCGCAGCTCTCTGGTCGAGGCACGCGAGGCCCCGGACATGGGGCCACCGCGTTGTTGATGGCCCAGGCGAAAGAAGGAGAGGGACGAGTTTGACTTTTGGTGCGCGGCGAGGAAAAGCACATTGACGCAAGCAGCGGTGGGTAGTCAAGCAAGCACCTGTGTAGCTGTCTCTCCCCCCTCCGACTCCGTGGATCGTGTGCTTATGGGCTGCCCTTGGACATGCATGCCCAACATACTACTAATTCTAACCTATGTGTCCGCCCGCACACGTGCATGAATAAGAAAAGTGATGGCATGGGCCAGTAACACACATGTGAGCCAGCCATGGGCGAAAAGCGACAGCGGGCCAGAAATGACAAGTGACAGAAAGAATCATATGTCCAAGACGGCTGCCGCCGCCGCCCGTCAATTCCAATCGACAGACGGACGAGATAGAAAAACCCCTGCAGCGCAGCGCTGCCACAGGGTTTTCCACCCAGGCCCCCTCCGCCCGGGCTGCGGGGCCCTCGGGGGGGTGAGGGGGGAGGGGGGAGGTGGGATGGGGGGTTGCCTTAGCCGTCTACCGGGTTGGTAGTGAGTGGCTTGGAGAGCTCACAGGACCACTGATATTCCGGGCCATGCGCGGGGTGGAGAGAAGCACACTGCTCTTGAATGCTGCGGCCGCCTCTGCAACCCAACCCGCTCTCGGGAACGGGCGCCGCCTCGGGACCCCGGACTGGATTCCTCGCTCTCCAAAGGGGCGCACCCCCACTCCTCCTTTTTTTCTTTCCTTCTTCTTTTCGGCTGCAAAGGGCCGTCACGGGGCCTCGTGCTTTGCTGCATGCTATGTATGTATGTATATATGTATGTATGTATGTACAAGGGCCTCGTTCAAGAGCCCCCCTCTCCTCTCTCTCCTCTTGCCGCCTTCTCCCCGCCTCCTTTCCGCCTCCTTTCCGCCTCCTTTCCGCTCATATATCTATTCGTCTCTCTCGGGCATGCTGACCGAAGCACCGCATGGTGCTGACAAGGCTCCGTCCGTCTTTGCGGGGATGCATCCCTCCCTCCCTCCCGCGGGGCCGCTCTCCCTCTTCCCTCCGCCTCCGCTCCCCCCCCTTTCTTGCCTGTCGTCACCTGCGCCGTCGCTCGTGGGACTCTTGAAACACTCACACTGTGCCCGGCGCCGTTTCCTGGCCCATGTGTGTGCTCTGTAGTCCGTACATTGAAGTGCCCTTTCCCCGGGATTGAGTGCTCTGCGTCTTCTACCACGTCCTGAGCCCAAACCATTCGTACTGCCTCTCTCTCCATTCCACGGCTCACTCACCGCCACACACACGCACTTTCTCTCTCTCTCTCTCGCACACGACCTTCTCATTACTCTGCGTCAGTTGTGCGTCCCTCGTCATCGTTCGTTCGTCGGCCACGTCCCAACACAACACAACACAACACACCACGCCACGTACGCACACACACTCGCACGCACTCACATGAACAGCAGGCCGGTAGGAGGGAGACGGACAGAGGCCACATGGACACGCTCTCCTGCACGCACTCCCCCTCTCGGGTCACAGCCAAGCCCAGCTTCTCGTGGCGTCTGGCACACCACGGCTACTCCGTGGCTCCCCAAGGACGACGACGACGCCCGCTAACACCACCCCCCGGCCAACAACCATTCTTCTGCTTCCACCGAGGGCAAGCAAGGTACCAACCGCCCTTACCGTGTCCTGGGTAGGCTAGCTGGCAGTGTCCGCTCCGTGCGCGGTGCACGGATACCGTCACCTCTTTGTCGATGTCGTTGGTGTTTGCCTGCTGCTGTGGCCTCTCCGGTCACAACGGCAGCGGCCGGGGCTGGGGGGCGCGCATGGATTCGCCCGTGGCCACGGCTGGCCCTGCTGTGACACGGCACCGGAGCCGGAGCCCAAACCACCATGTGGCCAGAGCCTCCTTCTCCCAACGATTCCTGGCCAGTCTCTGCATCCGTCCCGCCGGGTCGCGCCAACCGCTAGCTTGCCACCCAGCCCGATCCATTCGACCCCCGGCGTTCCTGTTCCGTCATGACGAGGCTTTGTTCTCTCGCCTGCGTTTCGCCGCGACATATTGGGCCATGCCGAGCGTCGTCGTCGGGTACGTGTTTGCCACCCACGCGTACGGGTCCATGTCGTCGTCATCCATCGTGGGGCCGCAATGCCTCGCTGCTGCTGCTGCTGCTGCTGCTGCCTGCCGTGTTTGTCGTCGCCCGAAGCGAGGAAACAAGGCCGACTTTTGTCTGTTTACTTTCCCCTTTCTCCTTTCTTTTTGTCGTATCGCTATTATTGCTGCCAATGGGCCTGCCAGGAGGCGGCGCCGGCTGTGCGTGACGATGCCGTGTTGAGCGTGTTGGCTGCACGACCAACGCCCGCCATGGACTTTGGCTGCGAGCAAAATGAAGCCTTTCCTGCTCGATTGGGCGGCGCTACGTCGGAGAGGCGAGGCCAAGGCGGCGAGCCACATGCCGGCGGGCGGGAGCAAAGAGAGGAGCGCTTGATTGATTGCCGCCCAACCGCATCCACCTGCTGGGTGCTGGGTGGTGGTGATGCTGGCCACCCTGAGTGATACTGAGTGATACTGAGTGATAGGTGGAGCACTGGAGCACTGGAGAGGGACTAGTACCCGGGGGATACCTGCGTGGACGCCTGCGGTACCTACATGACAAGCTCGCGCGGGCCCGCTGCAGTGGCTGCTGCGAGATGGCAAATCCAGCCCCCATGGCCCGGCCCGCGTCATCACATCACAGGTACCACCGCCCACAGGGCTTGTCCAGGGGTTGCTTCCAAGGTTCTTTGTCCACCGCATCGTCACCTCCGTTTCGGAGCCCCTCTGTGTTTGTTTGTCGCCGTGCCTTTTGTCCGCGTCCATTTGTCCATCCCGCCCGCGCCCGTCAAAGGCCGGCTCTCGCTGACCCGGCAGAGCGGTCTTGGACGGTCAGGCCCCCACGGGCGCCCTGCCGCTCCCGGCCATGTCTGTAGACTCTCAGCAACTGCTCGTTGCATTCCGCGCCTGCAGCAGCGGTTGTCCCGCCCTGCCGCACCCCACCCACCTGGCCCACGGCACGGCGCCCTACCACCACCTGCAGCCTCAGCACACGTCCAGCGGGCAGTTACCTTAGTGGGTACCGCTGGTAGCTGCTGGCGCCGCTGCTACAGTGTCTCTGCGGCACCGGGGGGCGGGACCATCCACCAGGACGCTGCGTGCGAGACCGTACCGCTGGGTACCTGATTCATTCCGTCCAGCAGCCCGGGCCCAGAGGTAGCGGCCAAGTACTAGGCCGTCGCACCTCTGGTTGGCAGCCAGCCGGCCCCCCAAGCCCACTGGGCCCCCTGTGCTGGGCCGTTCCTCGGACGCTACAACCGCAAACCACACCACTGAAAAGAGGTGCCCGCCGTTCCGGTGGCCACCCAGAAAAGCTTCAATCGACACCCACAGCGGCGGCCCCCTCACACCCGAGCCTGTCCACCGCCCACCGCCCACCCCCTCCCCTGCACGCTGCCCTGCCCACCCCCCCCATTCTGGCAACTCCCCTCGGCGCCCCGACTCACACACCCCCTCCTCCCCTCCTCGGGGTACAGCGCAGTACTTGTACCTACCGAACCTTGCCTCTCGCTCGCTCTTTACCTCGCGGACCGCAACGAGTAACACACCCCCCCTCTGCCCAACCCAATCTTCCTTTCCTCTTCCACCGCATCTCCCCTCCTCCACCAGCCAAAACTCGGTTCGCGACATCGTCAACCACCTGGCCTTGCGGCGACCTCGGACCTTGGCCTTGTGCAAGCATACGCCCGCTGACCGACACCTACCAAGGACGCCTCTCCCCTCGTTGACTGCGCGCTCCTCTCCACCACTCTCGCGCGCCCCGCCGGCCTTACTCCCAACTCCGTCCTCGCCCCCGTCATCGAATCTCTCGCTCGCAAACGATCTCTCGACGGCCACGTCAGCTTTCCACCTCGACTCCCCTCTTCTCCGCCTACTTCTATACGCCAGAGGACAAGAGTCCGTCGCCCCGTCTGCGCAGCCCGTAAACGCCGAGGCTCCCCCGCCCGTCTGCGCCCGTCGCTCCCTCCAGACTACCAAATGCGCCCTCGCCGCCTGGCCACTGTCCAGTTTGAGTAGGAGCCCAACGTCAGACCTCACCCGCGGTCTGCTGTCCCCGTAACGTGCGGCCTTGCGCACCTTGGCGTCGACAGGCATAGCATGGCCGACGACCGACATCGACAGGACCGTCCCCAGCAGAATCGCCCCGAGGAAAAGCACCACCCGTCGTCATCCCGCCACCCGGCCGACGACCATCAAGCCGAAGGCCCTCGAGCCACCATGGCTACCACCGTCACTCTCCCCTCGATCCACGAGGCCCGCGCTGCTGCCGGCTACGGCTCGCAACCCCAAGCTCCCCAGCCGCCTCCTACGCCCGCCGCCCGTGGCTACCCCCACGACCCTCGCTTCGCCTCGCCGAGCGCCGTCAACGGCTACCCGCCTCCTACCGCCGGCGGCCAACCCCCCTCGACCTACCTGCCGCCTCTACAGACCAGCCCCTCCGACCCCCGCTCGCCGGGCTACCCGCCCCCCGACCAGCGCGGCGCCTACTACGACGACCGCCGGCCCTACCCCGAGCATCACCAGCCACAGCAGTACGCCGGCGAGGGCTACTACTACCGCGGCCCGCCCTCGGGGCCCGTCCCGCCGAATGGGTACCCGCGCCCACCCCAGGGTGCCTACCAGGAGTTTGCGCAGCCGGCCGGCAGTGCCGCCGCCATGGCCCAGGCTGCTCCGCGACAGCGAACATCGATTGCGTGCAGATATTGCAGGAAGCGCAAGGTATGTGTCACGCGCGTCTCTCCTCTCCAAGATAGCACGGGCCCGTCGCTAACTGGCTCTTCAGATCCGCTGCAGCGGCTACCAAAATACGCCGGGCGGCAAGTGTCAGAACTGTGCACGCATGAACCAGGAGTGCATCTTCCAGCCCGTCTCCTCATCGACCTCGACCGCCTTTATCCCCGTGTCCGCCGTCCCGGGCGGCGTGCCCCCGGGAACCCAGCTGTTCGGCGCATACGGCCAACCCCTGGCCCCGAGCCCCGTCACCGTCGCCCATCCCTATCCGCCGCAGCACCATGGCGGCCCCCCGCCGCCGGGAGGACCTCCGCCCAACTTTTACCCTCCGCAGCAGCAGCAACAGCAGCAGCAGCAGCCGCCGCCGCCGACGCAGTCTCCCACCGAGTCCTTCTCTTCCTACGGTGACGAGGCCTCGCAGGTGGCGGGCAGGAGGCGAAGGCGCACGCCCGAGGAGCGCGAGGAGGGCTACAGACTGCCTCCGCCGAGAGGAGGCGGCGCGCCCGAGGAGGAGCCCCGCCGCAGGTCGCCCGCCGAGTTCTCCAACAACAGCAGCCCCGGCGGCCTGGCGCACCTACCCTACCAGCCCCCCCGGCAGAGCCCTCGCAATGCTCCCGCGCTGCCCCAGCTGTCGGGACAAGGTGGGCGATCGCCGAGGGCGCAAAACGGGTCGAGCGGTGGGTCGACCCCCGCACGGCAGCAGGCGCCTCCCACCAGCCAGCCCCAGAGCCACTCCGTCATGAGTCTGAGCAACCTGGTGGAGAAAAACGACATCGATAGGACGATGATTGACCGCCTGAATCATTCCCGGGACAGCAAGAGCGCCAACGGCTCCCGCTGAGCTCGACTGGCCAGAGCAGCGACCCACGAGGGGTGTCGCGCGGACAGGAGGGGGAAGGCGTGTGTTGACTCTGCCGGACAGTTGGTCAATCGAGCTGTGCGCGCACGATTCTTGTGGCAAATCGAAAGGCCCTCGGCGGGATGCGTGCTTTCTCGTTGACGAGAGGACTGAGCATCTGATTGATTCCGAAATCCTTTCGGGAGGTCTTTTGAGCGGTACAGGACGGCGATACCAAGGTTAGAACAACTACCTGTTTGGCAACAAACAAAAATCGGGCGCGGATACTTTTGTTTTCTTGTTAATTCCCCACGCCGCCTTTTGATTTTCGCCCCTTTCGATTTTGGACCTTTTACTTTCCCACCCTATTTGCTCGATTTCGACTCGCCTGCCTTTTGCTCGATGCGTTTTGATGACGGGGTCACGGGCTCTGGTTCCGTCGACTTGGAGGCGAGGCGTAGGTCCCCCGCTCACAACGGCGGTGACGGTGTCGAGGGGGTTCTCTTCTGCGCAAGCAGGTACGGGACGACGAGCGTCTCGGCTTGATTGTGCTCGTGTCTTTTTTACTTTTCGACTTCCTTTCCTTGCCTTTGTTCGCGGAGAAGATGGATATGCCTCACGGCGCCAAACGAGTTTCGTTTTTCCATTCTACGGTTCCGAATCCACTTGTGCCTTTTCTCGTTGAATTGACGGCTGGCTGGAAGGGTCGAGGGCATGCATGGGATGGGCTGGATGGGCTGCGGTTTCTGGTTTTTTGGTCGGCTGCGGCCAGAAGAAGCGGTGGGCGTGAAGCCGGCTGCGTCGGCGCTGGTCAGGAGTTGGCCTGGGGGACGGGGGTTTGTCTAGCTTGGCTTGTCTTGGTAGCCGTATTCTCCATACAGCATGCCCAAAGTATCTGACGATGTGCCCGATGCGGTGTGCGGCTGGCTCTCCTGAAGTGACTTCCCCCTTGTTGTCCTCGCACGTCTGGCCCCCTTTCAAGGCCCTCGTGGCTTGACGTAGCGTCCGTCTTGTTTTTCTTTCTTTTTCCCGCCTGGCCATGTCGGCTGCCACTCGCTCAAGCTACGGCGCCATGAGGAGGGGATCAGCGCGCCGAGGAGAAGGACGGGCGAGTCCAATTCGGGGATGGCGTGTGTGTGAGTATGGTTTGCTGATCCAGTGGTACTATATATCCGTGTGGTATATGATCTATATTCATACGTCCAGGGATGGGGCATGGCGAGCTGGCAGGAGGGGCCCTCGCTGACACCGGAGACGAGATGGAGGGGGACAAGGTTTGACGGCTGATGGGAAGAGAGACAGGCGGAGAGAGGGAGGAGGGTGTGAGGGGGCGTGCGAGAGGCCTGGCTTGTAAGTGTGTGAGTGTGTACGCGTGGGCGGGATGAATCCCGGGGGAACGAAAGGGGGCACTGGCGGCGCCAAGGTTGGCTTGCGATCTTGATTCGGTTCTTTTCCTCGCTTCAGGGGAGGAGAGGTGAAGAATCCCTGGGGCCATCGGAGGGAATAGGCTTGGCGGAGCTGGTCCCATCTGTACGGAGAGCCTCACGGCCTACGCGAGGCGGAGAAATGGATGGACAGCTTGGGGGCTAGGGGCTTGGCGAAGGGGGGAGGGGGGGATACTAGCAGAGTGTAGGAGGAGAGGAGTCTTGTTTCTTCTATTTATCCCGGCCGGGCCTGGCTGTCTCGGCGCCGGACGGGACGGGGTTGACGCAAGGCCCGGCGACTGCGTATGGCCTTGTGTCGAAGACGGCAGACGAGGAGGATGGGGATTCAAGAATGGACGCGGATCAACGGCTCTCGGGGCGGCGGCCTCCTGTGGTGCGCCGGCAACGCTTAAGCGTGTGTGCGCGGCGAAAGCTTAATTAAAAAATGCTCCCTTTTCCCACACAGCCAGCCAACAACTGCTCTGTTGATATATGTGTATTTTTTGCTATATGTCTGTCGGTATATATAAACGCACCTCCCCTGGTCATCGAGCCGTACCGCATCCACGGCCGGGTCCATGTGCTGTTGGAACCTGGGCCCGGGATCGCTGGCTTGTGCATGGTTCCCGAGCAGTACTTGGCTGGCGCCGTGGAGTGTGGCGGAGGCTGCGGTCGCGGGCGTGTAGAGGCTACCGGGGATGGATCAAGGTTTTTATGCACCCGCGCCAATTAAAGACGCACACACATGGCGCGGCGGTCACATGAGTCCCCGCTGTACAAGAGGCCTTGTAGCTCGGCTACTAGGCGCACGCCGGTGGGGGGGGCGCTGAAGCCCGCGCGGAGAGGGCGACTTGCCCGCCCCTTTTGCGCTCGCGCTCGCTGCCAGGCTTTATCCGCATGTTGAGCCGCATGCCCGGTCCCTGCCTGCGTGTGTGTCCCTGCCTGCGTGTGTGTCCATGTCCGGCTGGCCGAGGTTGTGGAGGTGACGATGCGAATACGAAGGGCCTTTGGGCTCACCGGCTCTGATTACACGCCTTTTTTCATGGATTCATCTGAAATTTTGAATCGTGGTGGAATGCTCTTCTTACGTTCTTTCATATTCATATTTCATAAATCCATACCGCTGGAACCTGGAACCTGGAACCTGGAACCTGGGACCAGACCCGTACAACTCCAGAGCCCCCATCGCCAACTCGCCGCCCGCCGTACATGCACGGCAGGGTAGCCCCTGAAGCCGACCGGCCACCTGTTCTCGGTCTGCCAGTCCGCCGATGAAGCAAAGTCAGCCGTCGAGAAACTTGTCCTCCGTGGAGCATGCCAGTCGGCCCCTGCCCGTCCCGTGTCCCCATCTCCTCCTGCCCGGCCCGCGTCAAAGTGGCCTGTTTCCATCGACGTGGCGCCCCGGGGCCGTCGTCCTCCTTGTAGTCCTCGTGCTCAGCAAACCTGCCAGCTGCCGTGTCGTAGGGGGAGGGGAGGGGGGAGTGCTGGCTACACCGCCGTGTACGGGGAGACCAGGACGTGTCGAGATTTTCATAGCACCGGCTCGGCAGTATGTGCGTTGGATTCCTCGACAATCTCCCGCGGGCTGCTCTCCTGCTCAGAGTCCCATCCACCGAGGCCGAGGGTGATCTTGACCGCGTCAGGCGAGTAGTCTACCACCGCTGCGAGACGGTCGGGGAGGGAGAGCGTTGCTTCGGCGCCGCTAAAATAAAAACCTGGTTCTCATCCCGAGGGCGCTGTAGCGTAGAGTTCGCTCAGGGGGGGCGGAAACCGATGCAAGCGGGAGACGCTCGAGACGGGGCAACTCGGCGGCCCTGTCCTTCTCCAGCACTTGCCAGACTCTCTCGAACCCTTTGGACAACACGCCCGCCCTAGTGGCCTCTCCGGAGCACCATGTCGCTTGCCAAGTGGGAACCGTGCTGCAGAGGACACACCAAGGATCCAGATGCTCCGCCCATGCATCACGCACCCCGCGGGGCCCAGAGGCCACTAGGCCTGCAACAGGCCCCCCGACGCAGCGTCGAGACGGGACGGACGGGCTCGTGGTTGGCGCCGCCGTTTGCCTGTCTGTCTGTCTGTCTGTCTGACTGCCTTCCTCGGGAATGCATGTAGCTGCTAGCTGGAGCGGCGGCAGAGTGATGCCAATGCAGCGAGACTCCCTGCGTAATCCAAATATCAAACCAGGCATCTTTGGGGCGTCGGGGCGTCGTGCTTCTACGACACGCGCGGTGTTACTGGCCACCTTCGCCCGAGGATCCCGTCGAGCAGGAGAGCCGGAGAAGGCTGGGGGCGTCTTGACAAGTAGACCGAGGCCCCTGTCAGGGGGGAAGAGGGGGGGCCGCTGGAGCAGAGTTCCTGAGAATGGGAGGCAAGTAACTCCAGCCGGACGGGTTCTGTGCGTAGAGGCAGACGCTGGAAGACGCAACAGGCATCAAAGAGGGGTTCCGTTTGTATCCATGCTTCAGTAATTACCGTCACTCCGCAGCCATCGTGGCCCTGATTCCCTGACCCCCCTTTTCCACTGCCCCTCTCCTCTCTACCAGGCAGGCCAGGTCAAGCACGGTGAAGCAGGAGGCCGAGCTATTGAGGGCCTACATGTCCCGGTGATGCCAGCTCCCCCCCCTGGAGGCGGTAGAGCGTAACGGCGACTGCCATCTTCCCCCCCTTCCTCCACCACCACCACCGCTTTCTCAGCCTTCCAGTTGCTTCTTCGTTTCCCCTTCCGTCTTGCTCTTCCTGGCTCCCCCTTTCCAGGACTCTACTCCACTTACAGGGCGCAGGGCGATGCGGGCTGGATAAATCACGACGTGTACCCAGAAGGCGTGCAACAATGGAGGCAGAATCACATTAGCACCAACACCAGCATCTAGCCGACAATAGCTCGCAAGCATCGGCTTCGAGATAGGGAGCAAAGCAACCGGGCCCCCTTTGCCGTACAGGACAGTCACGACCAGGCGGAGACCTAGATCGTCAGGGGCAAATGCCACGGCCCTTCTGCTCGGCTGCAGCAGGTAAACCCGCACAGAGCAGCACCAGCAAAGTTTCACATACTCCTTAATCCTCTACCCGCTTTGCTCGTAACCGGCTCGACGCAGAGCAGCCGCCGGGACGGCGACGGGACGGGACGATGGCATGTGCCATTCCGCACACAAGTGCGGCCCAAGCAGCCAGCCCCCTGCCCCCGGTGCAGCGAAGCCTGCCAACCAGCTCCCGGCCTGCTCGCTCGCACAGCATCCGAAGCGGCAGTGTATGAATCCGGGGCTTCTGCACATACGTGAGAAGAGCAGGGGACGGATAGCCGACGAGAGGCGATGCAAGCAAACTTCACCGGTGCACAGGGCAAGGCTGGCCTGTTTACCCATGGTGGTTAAGCTCCCGCCTCTGGATAGCGGCGAGGAGAGCAGAGACGGGGCCGTAAGCTGCCTCCGAGCCGAGCGCAGAAAGCATGGCGAGACAGACATGATATTCAACCGACACAAGTATATCCAACAGCCATCGTGATAGCCCCCGAGTTGGAGGTCAACATGACCACAAGCGAGCCGCAGACGAGGTCAGGCCAAGATGCAAGACACGAGCCGCACCTCACCACACTGCTCGCATGATTCGTCTCCCTCTCGCGCGGGTGGCGTCCTGGAAACTCGCCTGCCACAAGCCCCCTCCCCCTTTGCATGCCGGGTACCACCTTGTACGAAGCAGGCAGCGCCGTATCCGCATCATCTATTCGTATGTGCCCTCGTCCCCCACTGTTATCCGCTCCGAGACCAGCAGCCGCCCTCTGTGCGAGGCGAGCATCCCATGCGTCTTGTACCACCGTCCAGAGCGCACTGAATGAGTATTCACATGTACTCTCTTGGCGAGTGGCGAGTACATACATGCTACGCACTGTGGGAATCGGCATGCCGGTGCTGCGTGCGTGTACGACGTGCATGCTCATGCTTCACGGCTCCCCGATGGCCCCGTGCGGACCTTCGGGCCTGCGCCGGGCCTCTCCGGACCCCGACCCGCCCGTCTCCCGGCCGAGCCGAGCCCGAGCCGATGACAAGCATGGAGTGGTACACAGACAGCTTCAAGGTCCACGAACCTCTTCCACGCTACCAGACGGGGACAGATAGTCAAGATGCATGCACACTCTGCCAGACAGTCGGCTAAGGCGCGACACCAACTTGCGTGATATTGAAATGCCTTGCGGTGCGCTCGCGCTATGGAATAGTCTTGCCCGCGGTCATTCCGCCGCACAGTGTCCCGCATCTGAAGTGACGCGCTCGTCTGCAAAATCAAAAGGGAATCGCGGCACATGGCTGCGAGGCTCACAGGTCGCCAAGGCCAGAGGAAAGCAACTCGGACAGCAGCAACAACAAAGGATCAGCGTCTTCTTCGACATGCCCGCGCTCGCACCCATCCTCACTAGAAACCCCACCCTGCCCCCATCTACGTCCGCAAGGCCGCTAGAACTTGGACACGGATCTTTTGCTCTTTGGAGTCGCTGCATATAGGTCGTCGTCGTCTTCGAGCCCCGGCGGAGGGGGAGGGGGCAGGGGAGGCTGAGGAGGCGGATGACGAGGTGCGCTGTTCGTCGCCTCCTTTTTGCTCGGGTTCTGGCCAACGTCATTGGAGCCGCCTGCTTGTCTGGCCGTGAAGGGATCCTCAAACGGATTCGCCGCCGTGTCGCCATCGCGTGCTCGCCCCTGACCAGGCCGAGGTGGTTTTGGCGGCGCCCCGTCCGGCGGGTTGTAGACCTCTGCTTGCTTGCCTTTGCCGTTTCCGCCCGAGGCAAAGAAGCCGCCGCCGGCGGCTCCCGATGCCATGGGCACTACCGTTTGCTGGTCCCGCGCCCGGTCCGATCCGCGAGGCACCGGCGGCGCGTCCTCCTCGCTCGGGCTGGCCGAGGGGCCCAGCTGTTTCCGCGCGCTGAGGACGGCGCGTTGATGCTGGTTGAGCGCCGTCTGCAGTTGCTCGTTGGTGTCGATGAGGCTCTCCATGGTGTCATTGTCGGGCGCCGGGTTCTCCGACGTCATGTAGCCCTGTATACTGCGCGACGCGCTCAGGCAGCGGTTGGCAAACTCCCGGATCAGGTCATTGTGCATCATCTCGGCCGGCGGCGTGTTCATGACGACCTGCTCCAGCAGCTTGGCCGAGGTCCGCGCCTCCTCGAGCCGGCTGGCCAGCTCGACGGCGTTGGGCAGCTGATTGTTGGAGTGGGACTTGGCAAAATAATTTTGCGAGCTGCTGTTGGACTGAAAAGCAGGGCTCCCAAAGGATGGCCGCGGTCCTAACGGGGGCATGCGGCCCTTGGCATTCAGGGTCAGCTTTCGAGTGAGCAGGACAGTGCCGCCGTGTCTTACTCCTTGGTCCTTGAGCGCCTTTTCTTTTTCCTTCTTCCACATCTGCACCATCACGCCGAGGTTGGGGTCGTCCACTTTGGTGTGCTCAAAGTCGTCGAGCGTTTCCATCATGAGCTGCCGCACACCGAGGTCCTTTGCGTTCTTGAGTAAGGACTTGGCCGTGTCGGCAAACTTGTCGTCGAGATTCCTTGTAAACGTCTCGCCAGGGTTGTCGGTCAATATGCGCACCAGCATGAGGGCGTTGTACTGCCACGAGGGCCGCGAGAAGTAGTCCTTGCCGAGGTACTTGCGGATGACGCGCGCGCACTCGGCCGCGGCCGCGGGCGACGACTCGGCTGCGTCGACAATGGGGGGGAGGAAGAGGACCTCGTCGCTTTGGGCATTGCCGCCAGACTCGCAAAACGCTTTCTGCAAGACTCGGGTCAGCGGGGCATAGGGAAGGGAGTGGCCGGGAGGGGCTGGCACGTACCACGCTGTTGTGGGCGGTGACTTCGGGGTTATCTGCTGGTGTCGCGGCCGAGGCCGACGGGACCTCAAGGACCTGGGAGCCGCCTGCGGCTTGTCAGTCACCGAGTTCCTGGCACATTGGCTTGGGGACTCACGGTTAGGAGAAGACGAGGCACTGCCGCCGGCTTTCCGCTTGATGCTTCCCAGCATCTTGTTCATGCTGAGCCCCTTCATGGCCTTCATGGTGGCGGGTATCTATCCGCACGACCGAGGACGTGGCGGACTTGTGCGACGCTCGGAGGAGCAAAGCAGCGGTTGAGGCGTCTCGACGGGCCCACGGCAAAGTACTGTCGTCGAGGAGCAGACCGTTGAGGCGCCGTGGAGGGGAGAGTGAAAACGAGGACCTTTGGGGCTCGGGATTCGCGGGATGGCGGGTTCTGGACAGCCGATAAAGACGACGCGGAGGGTTCGCGCTTCTCCTGTGTCGTGGTAGCAGCCGCCTCCGCAGTGGTGGTGGTTGTGCTGCGCAAGCAAAAGCAGGGGTCGTCGTGGATCCGCAACGTCCCCAAGCCGGCCCCCCGACCAGTCGGGCTCCACACGTGGGGCAACCGTCTGGATGATACAGTCGTGCGCGTGTCGTCGTCGGCGGGACGAGGAGAGTTTGCGAGAGACGGAGAGACGGACAGAAGCCAAATGAGGACGTCGTTGGGCGTGCGTGAGAGAGACGAGGAGAGAGAGGGAGAGAGAGGGAGGGAGAAAAGAGGCGCAGGGCAGGAAAAACCAGAGTCTCACCGGTCTTCCAGACGCTTTTGCGCACAGATGGATCTTGGCGCTGACGTTGCCCCTGGATTGTCGCTCGTCCGATGATGTCTTGTCGATGGGGTGGTTGGTTGACGATGATGGGCAGAAAGGAAAGTCGGTAACGAGGTGAGGCGTGCAGAAACGATACCGAGCAAGTACATGCCTCGTGTACGGTTTTATCTCGGCCGGCCAGGTACTTGCGTGTATCGGTGATGCCCTACGCTCCCTCACCTGCACAGCCTCACAGCTCTACGCAATCCTCCCCCCTTCGCATCCCGCAGGCGACTACGTATGCATCTTGGCCCGAGGCTCGTCGCCGCACATGACTAGCCGCCGCGGGTCCATCGAGTTCTCGAAGCTGTCATTTGTCAGGCTCGCACCCTGTTTCATCCGTCTACCTGGCCTCATCCCGAGACGCACACATCTGGGGGAGGCGTCGCCGTCAAGCATCAGATCCCTGTGCCTTGATGCATAATTACTCCCTGTCCTCCTCTTGCCCTGCTTCGCCCGGCTCGTCTGATTCAAGCGACATGCTCTCCACAATCAGGTTCCCCGACTTGCCAATCTTGTCCCCCATGGTGACCGTTGTGCTGGGCTCATAGACGACCCGCGGCAGCGTCGACACTATTCTGAACGTGTACAGGTGCTCGTACCCGTCTGGCCGGGCCTCCCCTGCCTGCTCCGGCGCCACGTCGAAGCACTCTACAAAGGCGTAAAGCTCTTCCATGGGTGCGTCGTGCGGGAAGCGCCGCACGATGCGTCCGGCTCCCGATTCCTCCGGCATCTTGAGGGCCACTCGCACCACCTTGTTGTCGCCCGCCGCCGGCTCCGCCGTGATCCTGGCCGCCCTCCACGACTTCCACTGCTGCCGCCGCTCCGCCACGTGCGCCGCTGCGTCCGCTTGTTCCTGTGCTCTCCTCTCGGCTTCCTCGGCCGCGGCAGCTGCCTCCCTCTTTTCTCGCGCGCGTTCCCTGTCAATGGCCAGGGATCTCTCGTACGCCGAGTCTTGCTCCGTCCGGATATTGCGGGACACCTCTTGCGCAGTTCGTTCGGCGCGCACGCCCTCAAGGTCGACGCCGTACTTTTCCATGGCGCCCTGAAGCTCCGACAAGTACGTCGCTGGAGGCATGGGACCCGTCAGGCGCTTGACGATGCCCATTCGCGTGCTGCCTTCCTTGGGCGTCAGGCAGACCAGAGCCGAGAAGGGGTACTTTGTGCAGTTGTACTCGGTCGCTGCTTGGTAGGCTTCCGAGTCCAGCACGTTGCCTCCCCAGAAGATAATGTTGTTTGCGGGGTTCTTGATGAATTCGACAATCTCGGGATTGAGGAGGGTGTCCCGGACAAAGGAGGACGTGTCGTCGTGCTCGGGCGACATGAGCAGGACCAGCAAGAACCTGAGCTCCTTCTTGGCCAGATCGTGCGCCTGCGCCAGCCCGCCCTCGAAGAACTGGACTTCGTTGGGCCCGTACTCTTCGTCGAACTCGCGCTTGAATCTCGCGGCCGTATCGCGGGGCAGGAGCATGCGGCGGCCCGTCGTAGTCGTCCAGCCCGTCGTGAGGGCCGGCGGGCGTATCGAGGCGGGGAGAAAGGACAGGACGTAGCAAAAGGTGCGGAACAGGGTCGAGGCAGCGCGCCAGCCCCAGCCAAAGGGCGTCAGCAAGAGGCCGACGAGCCACGGTGACCGGTGCGTGACGGGCTGTTGCGGAACGATTCGGGGGGCGGGGTCGGTTCGGTCTCTGCGCGAGGACGGCGACGGCCAGGCCGACGAGGCCATGAGGCTTTCTTGGAGGTTTTCGTGTCGGGCGGCCGTCTGTGGGGCCTGTTGAGCGGACATGGCCTCGGCCACCGGATCGGGCCCTTCGCCGTCAAAGAACTTGGCGATGGCTATCTGGAGCGCGGTGAGCAAGACGCAGGCAGCCAAGGGCCCGGGGTAATACCTGAACATTCCATTGCGAGCGCTGCAGCAGCGGCACGGCAGCGGCGGCGTCTTGGTTGGTGACCTGGATGTATTGCTCAAGAGCCTCTTGTTGGCTTGCGGACAGCTGTCCCTCGGCGTCGGCGTCTGCCATGTCGCCTACCCTCGGCTCCTCGGTGTAGCGCAGGGGAGTCGCAAGCTCTGTGGGCATACGCGGAGGCAGCAGTAAATCTGTCTTTTGGGGGGGCCGGAGGGGTTTTCAAGTGCCGAGGCGGCGGCCTGGCTTGTTGTGATGGCCGATGCTAAGCTGCTGGAGTCTGCAGATGGCTGTGGTGGCTTGAGTGGTGATGGAAGCAAGACAGCCAAGTACTTACACGTTACCACAGACGCACTGTACGGCCTTCCGTCCCCATTCGGTACTTGTTTGGCTGCAGGTGGCCCGTGCGCGCTCAGTAAAGGTGACGGAAGCCACCCAACAAATGGCGGGCAGATTCAACGCGATTTCCATAGACTGGATGCAAGCCGACGGCATATCGGAGGTTTCATCTCTTGTAGAAATTGCTTATAACGCACCTTTGCACTGATCCGACCGAGTGTTTTAAATACCTACGCATTCACCATCCATCTCCACCGGCGAGGCGACCCAACTCTCTAGACGAGCGCCGAGCGATGATGCTCTGCTCAAAAGCCTGTTCCTCGACCAGGTGCTCGTCTCCAGACTGAGCAATGCTTTTCTCAAACGGCTGCCGGACCCCGAAGGCTGCATGCAATGATACCAGTTCCTCCATGCTTTACAGGCAGTCTTGAGCTACGTACCCAGATCTATCGAGTCTCTGCTGCACCAAGATCTGCGGATACTGCGGGCGAAGCGGCCTAGAGAAGTACCTGGCAGGTACCTCCTCCCTGCTACTGGGAGTTTGGCAGAGCGCATCTCAGCATCGGCTAAGATGAGAGTTTTTGAGCACCAAAACATGTCTTTGACGCAATGTCTCTCATCATCATTCAAACAAAGACTGGCAGAGACATTTCCACGCAACGTCCCCCAAACTTTTAGCAGGCGTAGCCGCCGCTCCAGGCGGCCGGGTGCAAGCAAGGTTCCAGGTGCCTTTGGCGTACCGTAGCCTCCCTCACGCAGGCATCTTGGTAGGTATCGATCAGGCTCAGTTACTTGCCTGCACACCTCCGCAATGACCACCACCGAGTAACTCTCGGTCCACAGGTACTCGGTGGACCAGGGCCAGCGTCCTCTCCCCCTCTCCTCCGCCTTGTGGCCCCGAACTCGCGCCCCACCAACGCGAAACACCACCGGCGACGACGGATTATCACCAGCTGCATTCCGTTGCAGCCTCATCTCAGATTCCTCCATCGCCCGCATTCGCCCGCGCCGATCCCTTTCCGCGCTCCTCAACTGAGCCGCGCCCTCCCGCAGCTCTTGCGCGCCTGGCTCTCTTCTCCATGGGCGCGACGCCGAGGCGACCAATTGAGCCATGGCAGAGCCTTGCCGCACCAAGGTTCGTCTTTGCGCACCCGTCCACCGTCACGCACCGACCCGCCAGGGTTATGCCTCGACTTGCCGGTCGGGGACGAGGCTCTTGACTGGCGTGACGTTCCTGGATTGGTCGGGCTTGGAGGCTGACGCTCGTGCAGACGCTGTAGACCGGGTCCAGAGGACGGCGCTCTCCCTAGCATCGCTATTTGACAATGGCGACTTCGCGGTTCCCTCAGACCGATCTACGTCGTCAGGTCGGGTCTCCGAGGCCCAAGACGCGAGGTACGTCGCCCTCGTCACTCACGCCCGAGCCTGCCGTCTCGAGTCCGCTGACATTCAACCGCCGCCAGAAAACAAAGAAACGCTCTGCCGAAACGTCCTCATCTACGGGCATTGTCGTTACGAAGACCAGGGATGCACCTTTTCCCACGATCTAAACAAGAATAATAACAATGGAACCCAATCCGACATGTGAGTTCATCCTCGACTACGTGGCCTGGCAGCACGTTTTGGTTGGCGATATCCGTGCGCCCATGAGCCGTTCTAGCGGATAGCGGCATGCGCCATACGTGGCGTTGCGTTCGTGGCAGTCAAGTTGCGTATCCGCCATGGCCAAAGACGTGGTTTAATCGACGTCCGTCATCTGCGCTGCTGTATCGCTGACGTTTGATTCACAGGTCCAAAAGGGCTCTCAACGTCGAATCTCCGTCATTTACCCCTGCAAGCATCCAACCCCCCCCTCTGGTCAGAAAGGCCACCATCCCCACGCAAGCTGCGAGTGCGCCAGCTTTTACTCCTCGAGCCTTGGGCGGTATGCTTGCCACCAACACGCGCATATACTACGGCGCTCCCGTTTGCTGACTTGCGGTCCAGCCGGCGCCCCCGTCCTAGCTCCAGCAGACCCCGAAGCAGCGGTTTTCAACCCAGCTGCCATCCGCGAATTCACGCCGAGCTTTGATGTGAGCTCGCAGGTGAGATGCTGTTCTCGGCCCATGTGATCCTCGCTAAACCAGTCAGACTGGCGTAAATGGATCCGCGCAAGACGCCGCCGTACCCTATGACCCCTTCGCTATGGCGGCCGTCGGCCAAAGCCTACCCGCGGCCCCTTACAACCCTTATGCCGACGACCACGGCGCCATGGCCGGCAGCTCGTCCTTTTTCCAACCGCAGGGCGCCTTTACTACACCTCTCCAGCCGCTCCAGCACCACCTCTATGCCCCCGTTGGCCCGCACCGGGAGGATCTGATGCCGTACCACCGGATGACGCACGACTTTTTCCTCCCCGAGAAGATCCGAGAGGAGCTTCAGAAAAAGGCTGAAGCCTCACTGCAGATTATACCAAATTCCCAGCTACCCCAGCTGGACAACTACCACTCGCTCGTTGCTCTGGACACGACCCACAGGAAGAACGCAAACATTTTTGGCTATCCCAGCTGGGTCTACAAGGCAACCTCTTCCAAGACCGGACACCTGTATTGCCTCAGACGGCTCGAAGGCTTCCGGCTTACCAATGAACACGCCATCCGGTCCGTCAAGGAATGGAGGAAGATTGACAATGCCAACGTGGTGACGATACACGACGCCTTCACCGCCAGGGCGTTTGGGGACAGCTCCCTGATTTTCGTTCAAGATTATCACCCGATATCCAAGACGCTTGCCGAGGCTCACCTCACCCCAGGCGCCGGCGCCGGCAACCGATTCCAGCCAAAAGGGCCGATCCCCGAGCCGGTCCTGTGGGCCTACATCTCCCAGATCGCCAACGCGCTCAGGGCTATCCATTCCGTCAACCTAGCTGCACGGTGCATCGATGTGAGCAAAATCATCCTGACGGACAAGAACAGGATCCGGCTCAACGCGTGCTCGGTGCTCGACGTCGTCCAGTTTGATCTGCGGCGACCTGTGCACGAGCTGCAGCAAGAAGACTTTTTGCAGTTTGGCCGCACCATGCTGTGCCTCGCCGCGAGTACGCCGCCGGTGCAGCTCACCAACCTCAACGCATCGGTAGAGCAGATGAGCCGGTCATACTCAACGGAGCTGCGGGACACCATTGTCTGGCTTCTGACTCCCCAGCAAGCACCGACCCCAAAGACGATCGACGAGTTTGTCCGGGGCATCGCCGGCCACATTGTCGCCGCACTCGACCAGAGCCAACACAAGGCCGATGAGCTCAACGCGGGGCTCTTCCGGGAGCTGGAGAATGGCCGCATTGCACGTCTACTAATGAAGCTGGGCGCCGTCAACGAGCGTCACGAGTTTGACGGCGACCGAGCTTGGTCCGAGAATGGAGAGCGATACATGCTGAAGCTGTTCCGAGACTACGTCTTTCACCAGGTCGACAGCAATGGAAACCCGGTCCTGGATCTCGGGCACATGATTCGGTGCCTCAACCGCCTCGACGCGGGCACGGACGAGAGAATCTGCCTGACGAGCCGCGACGAGCAGACCAGCTTCCTCGTCAGCTATAAGGAGCTGAAGAAGCAGCTGGGCAATGCTTTTGGAGAGCTGCTCAAGGGGAGCAAGCAAGGGAGGGGCTTCTAGTCGGGCCCGGGTGCAGAGTCCGAGGAGGCAGGCGCATCCGGGTCGCAAACGGCCGGCACAAGTCAGGTTGAGAATTCCCCAGCCTTCCCCCTCTTAGCGGAGCCGGCGACGATTGACCCAGGTCCACTTTGCTGTCGGTGCCAGGTGGGATTTGCTGGAGGAGAGGGTGATGCGGCCACAAGAGTTGGCTACAAGAGGACGACTTGGATCCATGCACTCGACATGTCAACTGATGGTTTTGCTCTTCTCCCAAGGAGGTGCGAGGATGAGCATCAGACCGACTGTGGTAGGAGGTGGTGACATGGCAGGATGTGCCGCGCCGCCCTGCGCTTGCTAGATGTCACATTATCGGAAACGGCAGAGTTGAGTGTCAGAGATGGGGGGCCATGCGGAGAGAGGTCAGTTCGAGCATATCCATGCAGAGTCAGGCGAGCGAGCAAAGCGACAGGTGAGGAGAGTAGGCAGGAATCATTGGAATAGTAGCATATGTTCATGACGTGGCCAGCCCCTGATTCAGTGCCCCTGTCTGGTAGTTGAAGGCCGTCGATACTAGCAGATATGTGCAACCTGCCAGCTGTGTCGATTGCGCAACTGCGAGATGGCTCTGGTGCTAGTATACGGCAACAGGCCTGCGACGCAAAGATGGCCGCTGGTCGTCGTGGCAGCCCTCTGGCACTGCATGCACATGGTCATTCCATCTTATCCGCTCTGTGTACTTATTCCCCCATCCAGACAGAAAGCCTCGAGCTTCCCGCCTCTCCGAACAGGAGGGGGCGGGTCCAGGCGCGCATCGTGGCCGAGATATGGGGTGCACATGGCGCATCGGCGTCGGTTACTGGGTATCCAAATCCAACCCCGCCAAGGGGGTGACGTCAAGATGCCTCGTCGGGCTGCGCAAAGGGGTTGGCGATGGGCTCGCTGCCGTCAACGGGGGTGATGACGACGAGGAGGGTGCCGCGGGCGACGACGAGGCCGAGGGGTCGGGTGGATTCGTTTCCTTCGTCGTCTGCGGAGGGGCGTTAGCATCGTTATTTTGTTCGGCGGTTTTTCTTTTTGTCCAGTTTGGCCGTGCGTGCTTGGCTGGGAAGGAGCTCACCGCGGACTGTCTCCTGGACGTCGTCGAGGACAAGGTTCATGAGAGCGTCGTAGCCCTTGAGCGTGCCCTTGACTATTTGTCGGTTTTTTATCCGGTTAGCAAATGCGCTTGCGCGACCACGGTATATGACGATGGCTGCGCGCGCACTCACCTTCACGCCCGCCGTTGAACTTGACGTTGATCTGCTTGTCCATGTACTTTGCCAGGTCGAGAATGTTTTCCTTCTTGGGCCGCTCGCCCTTGTCGGCGGCAGCTCCCCCACGGCCGCCTGCTCCGCCCCGGCCACCGCGGACGCCGCCGCCGCCGCCGCGTCCACCTCGATACGTTGGTCTGTCGGACATTGGGGGCGTGGGCGCAGAGGGTAGATGGTGGTGATGGTTTGGGAGGAGGATTGTGTCGGCGGTGACGATGGGTGGATGAATGTCAGTCCTGCCTGTCATTGCGCCGGAGAAAGGACGGGACAAGCTCACAACTCTTATCGGCTTATCTTGACCTTGGCGGTGGAGGGGTAGTTGCCCTCTTCGGCCTGCGAACTGAGGAGAGGCTACGAAGTACCACGTACGCGGATAGACAGAGGCGTTGGACGTTTCTTTACTTCTTTTTCTCCTCCTCCTTTGTGCACAGACAGGGAACGGACAGCTAGATAGGTTTGTATGAGTGTCGATGGCCATTGATGGCCATTGAATGAGAGATGCTGATCAAACCCTCGATACATGTCGCAGTGGGTGAGTATGGGCTTCCCCCTTGACCAACCCCGTTGACTGGCTGGACATTGGGCGGGCAGTTTTGGCATTCAAGATGTATCAATCACCATCATGACTGGCTTCAACCTTGTCTAACACAACCCACCCGGCGTGTGCCTCGCTTCTCTCATCACATGAGTGGCGTTGTCCCAGGCACACACAATGTCTTGTGTAAGCGAGCCACTGGCAGAGCCAGCTACCCTGGACCACCCGTGTAATGCACGAGACGCCATCAACACTGGTGGGAAGTTTCTGCACCCCAACAGTACAGGGTCCTCGACCTCGATGCCACGACTGGCTGCCCGCCAGAACTTACCATTCCACGACCTCTGCTCCACCATCTGCTCGCAGCAAGAACCCACCACGGGGACTTCGCTGATTACCACGAAAGGTTGAACCACGACGATGCGCGACTGACGTGCTCATGTGGTCGACGAAAAGAACCAAAGCATCTCTTCTATTGCCGGAAGATCGCGCCGCGACATCGGATGAGGTTGGCACCCTCACCGAGCGCGGCGGTCAACCGAGCAATAGGCAGAGACTTCGACCAGTTCGTCAAGGTGGCGAAGGCAAGCTCGTTCTTTGGAACGATCTGCCCTCGCCACTAGGCGGCAGCAACCGCTTTCCTCCTTCCCTTCCCTTTGTTTGCACACACACCATTTTCTCTTACCCGACTCGGCCGGGCGGAGGGTGCTCTCGGAACCGGCCCTGTGAGGCCAAAACGAAAGACATGGCTGTCGCGCCTGAACGTCCCGCTGACGGGCAGCAGGCTGAGCAAAGAAGCGCCTTTGAGCCGATGAAATGCTGAATGGTGGATTGTTTACGTTCTGTGGAAGGGGCAGAAGACGCGGATTGGTACTCGTTTCGTTTCGCGTATTGTGGGCCTACTCCGCGATAGTAGACTTCCAGCAGCTCAGCACGTCCTGTGCCCCGTCTCGGGGACCTGAGCGACCTAAAGGTCGCTGGACGGAAAATACAATAATAATAATAATAATAATAATAATGACGCCATCAACACGAAGCCGTCGGCTCGCTTACGGCGATCTGCACGACATGCAAGGCCTTTTTTGCCTCGCTGTCACCTGACGCAGGAGCGCCGTCATTGCAACGTGGAATCGACGCAGGCCCATCGACAGTGGCGATGCCAAGAACGGCCAAGCTTCTTCTTTGTTGGACTGGCGTGTGCCGGGGAGAATGGAGAACAAAACAAGAGATAGTTATACATACAAGCGGATGCAGGCAGGCCAAGGAAGGCCAAGGAAATCTTCGGGCTTAGTGGGTCTCCGACTCCCCGTCCTCGGGATGCACTTCAAGCAGAGGATTGGTCCCATTGGGTACAGCACCGTCCTCGGGAGACTTCATCTCATCTCCGCCCCCCTTTCTCCTTTTCACCACCCGTTGCCCGACAACTGCACATGCCTCGCCACGGCCTCGCCACGACCGCCCCATCAAGTTCCGCCTCGTGTGGGTCCCCGTCGTCTAGGGCAGGGCGGGCCCGTCCGCCTCCCGCTCGGCTTAGCAATCCCCCGAGGCCACATGCGCCCCGGTCGGGACCTCGGGAGAGCTTGGGTAGCAAGCGTGTGGGCGATGTGATCCCTGTCTTGCCTTGTCTCGCAGCCGTCGACGTGGACGGACAACGGCGCGGTGGTGGCTGCTGACGGTCCAGGGAGGGAGGGGGGGGGGGGGGGGGTGAGAACTGAGAAGTGCCGGCCTTTGTGCTTCACTGCTTTCCGAGTTCTCGGCTTTTCCTAGGCCAAGTGTATGTATGGTATTTAGTTTACGTTTACAATCTAGTTACATGATGAGGAGCTCCGAGGGCCTTCTTCGTTGTATGCTTGATGCGTGCCCGGCAGCAGCAGGTCGACGCGCCGCTGCAGGCCTTCGGGATGGACACCTTGCCTGGCATGCTTCGACCCTCGTGCATATCCATCCTCGCCTACATACATCCAGCTCACGACTTCATCCTCGCCTGGTGCATATCCTTGCCCTTACCGCAACGCAGCCGTGCATGGCCCCTCCCCGTTGGACTCCCCGACGGGCTTCCCCCGCTGCACGAGGATTCAGCATGTATCTATTGCACGCAGCTGCTCTCTCTTACCATGCTGCAGGCACCACGGAATGCCTATTTCCCCATCAGCTGGGATAGGCTTCATGTTGCGAGGCCAGGCGCGGATCTTCACAGATCTGCACCCCCCCTCCCCCCGTTCGCCCCCCTTCTCCGGCCTATTGATAGACGTCCGCCTTCCCCCTCCACACACACATCCTGGATATTTGCCTCTTCCTCCTCATCCCCACCCCCTTGCCTGCTCCGCCCCTATGGTAACCCGTCCTAGTCGTCATCCTGAGACCGGTTCTCGACTGTGACGATGGCCATGGACTCCTGGCTTGGCCGTTGTTGGCGCTGGCGTCACCGCTCCCACTCCATGTCCCGTCCCGCCGCCTCTCCGTCTCGCCGCCCTCCCTCCTATTCGACGCTGCAGAAAATAGCGTGGCAAATAACATCTCCGGCCGAGACCACGGTCTAGACCGCACGTGGCCGGATGGATATCTCCTTGTCCGGGCGCCTCCCGCGTCCGGCCTCTGCGCCAGGCGGGCGATGCAAGTTGCGGTGCACACCTCTTCCCTACGAAGCGTCCCAAGTCCTCGCCGCCATCTCAACCCCCGGCCCTCGGCTCGTCTCTTTGGGGACCCACCCTTTCATCTTTTTGAATTTTGAGCCGTCCGCCATGCAGGGCCGACAGCTTCCCAACCCCCCAAGCCCGCCCGCCCCCCGGCGATCCCCTTTGGCGCGTACAAATGTAACTTTGTTGAATACCACACGTACGTATTTGTAGGCATATGCATACATATCACCGGCCTTTGCTCTTCCCACTCTCTCTCGCCTTCTGCTCTCTCTTCCTCCTCTCTCACCACTTCTCGAACGCCCGACTCCTTCCCTCCGACCTCGTCCTCCTTTGCGCGCGCCGTTCCGGACGAGTCCCTCGCCGCAAGAATCGCTCGTCCGGTCCGGAGAACCACCCCCGTCGCCTCACTGCGCGCTATTGCCTTTGTCCAGCTTGGGGTCCGGGCCGCGTTGCCGTCTGCCGTCGTCGATTTCGAACATACGAATCCACAAAACCGTTCTACTTGGAAGTCGACTGTTTTCCCAGCAAGACTGGGGCTGAAAGGGGCCCTCGTCGTCGCAGCAGAGATGGCACATATCGCTCCGGATTACGACATCCACAAGCGCAAGCGAGACGTCGAGGACGGCGGACCCCAGTACCATTTGCCTTTGTCAACGACGAGCCATCAAGGTACGCTCCTGTTGAGTTCCCTGGGGCTCACGTTGCTCTTTTCCTTCTCCGCTATTCTTCTGCGGCCTGTCTTGGTCAAGAGACATAAAAAGAAAGAAAAGGGAAAGAAAAAAGGAAGACCAATGCCTCCTGCTTGAGCGAAACCTTCCGAGACAGATGTCGAGACGCCGCCGGCATGTGGCGGACTCCTACTCACGCCCCCTGCTTCGTAAACGCCGGCCACGGTCGTCTGTTGCTTTCTGTACCTGCTTTCTGCCAACACGTCATGATCTTTCCCTTGACTCCGCCTCCTCTCTGTCTCCTATTATTCATCGCTAAATCTGCTCTGCATGCCATCGTTGGCCTTGTCTGACCTTTCCAGGAGGCGCCGGGTTTATCAACTACCTTCCCAGGACCAGCGCCGAGCGTCTCGGCCTCCTCCAGGGCGACGCGGATACGTTTAGCGACATCATCGGTCTGATTGGCGAGTACGAAGGAATGCCGGCCTGGCCCCCCTCTTACTTGCGAGGGCCGAAGCTCGCGTACTGACCGTCTTGCGCAGGCGTCTTGGAGCGGCACGAAAGCCTGGCGGCAAGCCTTGGGGCGAAGCTGACGGGGCCGAGGCTGCTCAAGGGCATTGAAAAGTTCTTTGACGGGCCCATCCGGACGAGCTCGTCGCAGCCCTACGTGACGGCCATCAGCTGGCTCGACATTGTGGCCTTTGCCAAGGCCAACCCCAACAGCTTTATGCTGACAACCATGGCCGACGGCACGCGGTGCTGCCACTTTGTATGCAAGGGCGTGCGGACCGAGATTTCAGAGGACGACTGGCGCCTCATCTCGTCGGGCGCGTTCGACCGGTTTCAGCTGGAGCGGCCGTTTGAGGAGGACGAGACGGCGGAGCTGGCGACGCTCGACATTCTCGAGCAGCGGGCGTCGATTCTCTACAAAAAAGCCGACGAGGTGGCGGCTAGGGCTCGTATCCTTCACCACAAGCTCGGGCATCGGAGAGGCGACCTGGCACGGCGGCGCAGGACACAGGAGGGCGGCGGGGCCCGTTTCCACGCCGTCAACCAGCCGGCCCGTCCCCCGGGCTTCGGCTCGTCGTACGATCTCCATGCCGATCTGCTCCAGCAGTATATGGCGGCGCCGCAGACGACGTGCGTGCCGCCGTCCCGGTCCACGTCGGGTGCCGGCATGTCCGTGGCCAGCCTGGGGCCCCTGTCGCCGGCCAGGACGTCGCCGCACCGGCAGCAGCTTCACCGGCTCTCGCCGCAGGGCGCAGCCGCGGACGTCGGGGGCGAGGCGTACCGGGTGCTCATCACGCAGAGCACGGACAAGCTGGCCAAGGGGGACATGATTCACCCGCCGTGCGACCGCTGCCGACGGCTCCGGCTGCAGTGCACCAAGCACCTGACGGCGTGCCAGGGGTGTACCAAGAAGCACGCCAAGTGCAGCTGGAGGTTCCTGACCGACGACGAGATTGCGTGGCTGAGGTCCGAGGCCGGCGCCGAGGGGGAGACGACGGAAGGAGAGCAAGAAGGCGGCGGAGGGGGTACCGACTTTCGAGAGGCCCCCGTGGCGAGAGCGGCGGCCGGGGGAGAGGCCACGTCGTCGTCGGGGGCCACAATGAATGTGGCCGAGGGCGCATCGCGGCCGGCAAGCCGCGCCGGGCCGGAGCTCGGGGGGCGGCCGGCGATGCGCAGCCCGGACCCCTTTTCTGCGGTCAAGTCGGAGGCAAACCAGGAGACGCGGAGGAGCCAGTTGCCGCTGGGGCAGGAAGGACCAGCCCCGACGAGGGAGCAGTCGAGGTCGAGTCGCATTTCATCGCTCATCACCGAGACTGGATAGGGGGCGTCGAAGGACAAGTCTCGGCCCTGCGTCCAGGACGGGCTGGACATGGTGTAAGAGGAGGAAGAAGGAGTCGACGAGCACCTAGAGGCCAACGGTCAATCATGAAGCTCTGGACTATGATACCACCTACACCCGAGGACATTGCGTTTGGCCGTGTAAGAGGCATCACTGGTTAATCACTGTACAAACTACAAAGTAATCGGTGTCAGTGACTTGTGGCAGAACATCGGTTGCAGTCACGCGCGAGGAGTACATATACATGATGAGCCTTTGGTGACCTGCTTTGGTGGAGAAGCGCTTGAACAAGCACGATTTTCATCATTTGCCTAGACGCAGCAATGGTATGACGTGCAGCCGGGATCCGGGGATGGTAGGCTGAGCGGCATTGAATTTTAATATCTTTCAAAGATGCGGCAGTTTGTCCGTCGCACGTGGTAGAGACTGGGACACTCTTGTCTAAAAAAAAGAAGAAAGAATAAACAGGGAAGCACGCAGCAGATTCATCTTCGACGCCATCATCATCAACCCGTGTGATGCAGAGACCTCGAAGCACAGTGCCGGTTTGGCAGTGCACGGTAGGCCTCTGACGTCTGCAAGCTCACTGACCGACCCACCTCGAATCCAGACCCGCGGGGTGGGCGGTACGTACCTGCACCGGCGTGCATTCACCTGCAGCGGCAGGAAGAAAAAGTTTGGAGCCTCAATTCGCCAACCATCATATCTCAAACCCTTTTCTCTTCCTCCCCCCCCCCCTCTTCAAGCTGGCGCTCGACTCCCTCAAACCACGCGACGGATGGCAAAGCACATGTCTATGGCGGCCAGGTAACCCGCGCTTCGCTCTCTCCTCCCACACCCGATTGCCTCGACGGCCACGCGTCCACAAGGCGAGCCCGCCATGGCGCAGCCTCAACGATTCATCGACGGCCGCGACGACGCCCGGCCCTTTCAGCACCCACACGCGACTGTCGAGCACGCGGCGCTCGTCCAGTCGCGCGAGACGGGCGATGTCATCCCCGACGACTCGCCCCCCGAGGGCCACGTCAAGGCCCTGCCCTTTGCCAAGTCCTGGGTTCACTTCATGGCTGGAGGGTATGTCGGGCCTGGCGCATCCCGCGCGCAACCTCGGGCTGACGCGGGCGTCCCTCTAGAGTCGGCGGCATGGCGGCTGCTACGTTGACGGCGCCCCTCGACGTCCTCAAGACGAGGCTGCAGTCGGACATTTACCAGGCCCAGCTGCGAGCCAAGTCGCACGCCATTCGACGCCTGAACCCCGCGAGCGCCGCCCTATACCACCTCACCGACACGTTGCAGATCCTCGCCTCGGTCTACCGCACTGAGGGCCCCAGGGCTCTGTTCAAGGGCCTCGGGCCCAACCTCATCGGCGTTGTGCCCGCGAGGAGTATCAACTTTTACGTCTACGGCAATGGCAAGCGCCTCATCTCGCAGTACTGGAACCGCGGGCAAGAGGCCCCCTGGGTGCATCTGTTGGCCGGGGTGGCGGCCGGGGTGGCGACATCGACGGCGACGAACCCCATCTGGATGGTAAAAACGAGGTTGCAGCTCGACAAGAACGTCGCAGAGCGCAGCGGCGGCGCCATGAAGCGGCAGTACCGCAACAGCGTCGACTGCGTGCGGCAGATTGTGCGCAACGAAGGCGTCGGCAGCCTCTACCGGGGCATGAGCGCCAGCTACCTCGGCGTCGTCGAGTCGACGATGCAGTGGATGCTCTACGAGCAGCTCAAGGCGGCCCTGGCCCGGCGCGAGGCGCGCATCGTGAGCAGCGGCAGGGAAAAGACGTGGTGGGACAAGTCGATCGATTGGACGGGCAAGGTGGGCGCGGCGGGGGGCGCCAAGCTGTTTGCCGCCGTCCTGGCCTATCCCCACGAGGTGAGTGGCGCGGCGCGCATGGATGCGTTTGGGGACTGACCCTTGTGCGCTGCTAGGTGGCTCGAACGCGACTGCGCCAAGCGCCCATGGACAATGGGCAGCCCAAGTACACGGGCCTGATCCAGTGCTTCAAGCTCGTGTGGAAAGAACAAGGCATGATGGGCCTGTACGGCGGGCTGACGCCGCACCTGATGAGGACCGTGCCCAGCGCCGCCATTATGTTTGGCATGTACGAGGGCATTCTGCGGCTCTTCAACACGCCGGCGTAACAGACGTGTGCCTGTTGCTGTATATTTCCGACATGTTGTACGATATGACGCGCGGAGCGCCGGAATGTGATACCGGACGGTCGATGCCCCTCTGGATCTGGCGTTCTGGAAAAAGGTTACTTGGCTAAATGAAGGTCCAAGTCACGGATGAGACGTGGATGGTGTCGGGGAAGACGCCCATGTCGACTAAAGCATCTCTGATCATGTCTGTTGTTGCATTGGTCGCGTACGTGGTGAACAAGCCTGTAACGTGGACATGACTCATACGCTGTCCTCGGAGTCTGGCGATGGAAGGCCAATTCCATGCGGCAGCGGGGTTGCGAGCTCTGTAGAATCTGCCGGGCCCGTTTTTCAGCCGTTGATGGAACCGGCCGCGCGCAACGGCTTTCAAGGCCAAGGGCGGCGGCGTTGTTCTTGACTCGGTCGTCCGGCAAGCTTATTCTCGCCAATCCCTCCCCGCACCATCTCAATCCCGGGGGGCGGTTGTGTTGTGGGGGGGGGGGGAGGGCGATGCGCCCCGTCGTCACTGCTTCTTTCCTTTATCCGTTCGGTTATGCAGAGCTGGTTCTTGCGATCCCCTCATCGACCAAAGACATCAAGAAGGCGGACCCGGATGCTCGCGGAGCCGCCGTCCAGCATGGACCTCGCAAGCCGGCCGCTCACCAAGCGGCCACGCGCGTCGCTGGCCTGCAACGCGTGTCGCCAGACAAAGTCCAAGGTGAGAGGCCTCGAGTGGGGTGGCCGCCAATTCGAGGCAGATACTCAGCTGCTCACCGCCATTCGCCCCCAGTGCGACGGCAACCGACCCGTCTGCGAGCGCTGCAGAAACAATGGCAGCGCCTGCGTCTACACCCAGGGCGGCCGCGACAAGCGCATGGAGCGCCAGGAGGAGCGCAGGGCAAACATGGCCCTCGTCAGCCGCGTCAAGGAGCTCGAAGCCCGCCTGGCCGCCGCCACCGCCCGCCAGACCCCGGACCCGACTCCCAAAGACCGTCCCGCCGACCCCCTCGAGGCCCTGCCCGACGCCGGGACCAAGGCCGCTGTCCGGACCGCCGAATCGATGACGACGGCCGACGCCATCGCCACCGGCCTCTTCGACCAGCCGCCCGCCGTCGACATTGGCTACTTTGGTAAGACGCCGCTGCTTCTCCCGTTGAACCATACAAGCATACTCAGCCCCGTCTTCGGCAGGGTCGAGCTCCAACCACGCCTTCTTCTGGTCCCTGTCGGCCAGCATTGAAAACGTCGGCCACCGCAGCGCCTGTCGCTACCAGGAGCCCTTCTCGCGCCAGGGCCCGGCCGTCGACCACCGCCCTCGCCACCCGGCAGAGCCGGCGTCCGCGAGTCATGCTGCGCCGCCGGCGCCGGTCTCGGACGACGATTCCTTCCCGGAGCCTCGCCTGGCCGTCGAGTGGACCACCCGCTTCTTCGACACCGTCGGCACCGTCTTGCCCTATATTGGCGAGTCAGACGTCCTCCGCGAGATTGACAAGATTGATACCCGCGGCCAGGGGTGGCAGTCGGCCGGCCGCTCCACACAGGCCCTGCTCAGCATCGTCTTTGCCCAGGCCCTGTACGCCATGGGCGGCGAGCGTTCGCCTGAGCCCTTTTATCGACGCGCCTTGAGCTTGCTGGATGAAAAAACGGTTTACATCCCCACCATCGACGCGCGTATGCCGCATCTGCATGCCCCCCCTTTCACCCCCTCACACGATGCTGACCATGAGCAGTTCAAGCGTTGCTTCTTCTCGCCAGCCTCCAGCAGAACACGCAGCGATCCATGGAGAGTTGGACACCGCACTACCGCGCCGTCCGGATCTCCTATCAGCTCGGCATCCACGCGCCGGCGTCGTACGAGTACCTGGGCATCCAGGAGAAAGAGATTCGCTCGAGGCTGTGGTTTGCCGTCGTGAACCAGGACAGGTGAGCTTCCGCCGCCCGAATGGCACCGTATGGCACTGACCCCTGTCCCCTCGATAGGATCCTGACGGCTGGCCTGGCCCGTCCCTGTCTCATCCCGTTGCAACACGTCCGCATGGAGCTCACAGACTTCCTGGGTCCCCTGCGCCCGATCCGGACCGCCGACATGTCGTGTCCCAAGGAGAGCTTGGTTTACTTCCGCCATCTCATGTAATGGACTGCGACCCTTCTCCCCTTTCCTCCTCCTACTCCTGGGCTAAGCTGACAAACTATTCCATGACAGAGCCCTGCACGAAATTCTCGGCATCACCGTCGACTCCATCTACAGCTCCAACATCAGCTCGTCTAGCAGACTCGCGCTCGGAGACTTGTTGGCCAAGACGGTTGATCTTTCCTGGAGACTCGAGAAGTGGCGCGAGAGCGCAGCCCCTCCCGGCATCGTCAGCGCCGACGCCGACTTCGGCACGTGGACGGCGGCGGGCTTCGAGGCCGAGCGATACACCATCCTCCTCTCCATCTTCCACTACCGCGCCATGATGCTTCTGCACGGGTCGCTGCTGATGAGGGTCCTGGAGCGAGTCACGAGCTTCGGGCAGGATGCCTCCTCGGGCGTTCTCCAGGACGCGGCCCTGTCTCTCTTGAGCAACTACCTGCGGGCCATTCGGGACTGGCTCCGCCTCATCAACGGCATCCTCCGCCACGGGCGCTCGTTCCTTAACCGAAATGCGGTGTGGTGGACGAGCAACTACATGAGTAGGTTCTCTCCGTCCTGGGCCCCGTAGAGACGGCGTGCTGATACATGTTCCTCACGCAGTGCTCTCTACATGTATTCATACGTTTGCCTTTTGGCAGCTGTCGTCAAACCTCAAGTCGAGCATGGCAGTTCTCAGCGTCCACACCAACGACGTTGAGGCCCTCCTCCGGGGTAGCCTCGACACGCTGAAGCTCCTGGGGGGCACCAGCATCATGAGCCGCAAGGCACATCGCTGTCTCCAGCGATACATGGAGTTCTTGAATAACATGCGCCCGCCTACCGGCAGCTCCATGAACACGGGCGCCGTAACCAGCGAGGTCGGCGCTCTCTCGGCCCCGGCCACCGAGCCGACCCGCGCATCGCCCACCGCTTGCGACCAGACCGACGAAGGCCTGCCGCCGACGGACCCGCCGGAAATGCAGTGGACCCCGGCGAACCCGGTCGGCGAGGGCCTGTCGGTTGAGATTGGCAACGACGTGATTGCCAGCTGCATTGATGACATGTTTGGCAGCCTCGACCACGACAGCTTTATGAATACACACTTTTTTGGCCTCGAGCAGGCAATCAGCGACTTTGACGCCTGCGGTTTCATCTAGCCGCGTGTTGTGGCAATCACGTCCCGACGCGCAATGTACTCCCCTTTACTGAACGGCTTCAAATTTACATTTGAACATCGAAGTGCCCTCATCACGAAGGGATCCTGTAACTCTACCCCCCTCAACCTTCAGGACCCTTGGAAAAGCCTACCTTTATACAGTTCGCCAACTTGTGGCCGACTTCCATCATGCAGTTGTGGGAACAATCATCTGGACCTCGGACGATGCCCATTCTATCCGGGACGACGCCCTCCTTGATTCTGCACGCAGGAAACTGCCTGTCGCGCTCTTCCTTGGTCTCCTCCTGGCCCAGATGCAGGGTGCGCCCCGAAAGCGCCGCCAGCTCGACCAGCCTCGTCGTGCGCTCCTTTCGGAGAAGCCCATACACTTGGAGGCACTTATTGATCGCCGCAGGCGTCGAGCCAGGCGCCCTGGCCAGCACCTCGGCCAGCACCGCTCCGTCCTCGATGGCCATGGATGCCCCTTGGTTAAGGTGCGGCAGGGTGGGATGGCACGCGCCGCCCATTAAGGCAACGCCGCCGTGGACCCAGGTCGGCAACAGCTCGTGCACACGCAGCTTCCACTGGCACACCTCGCCGTCTGGGATTAGGCTCTGCAGGCGTTGGACGAGGGGGCAAAAGTCGGAAACGGCTCGCAGCATGGCTCCCTTGAAACCCTTGGTCGTGTACGTCGCCGACGGCGCGGCGGCAAGGTTTGTATCGGGCTGGATTGATGACATGTTGTACAGCGTCTTGGCCGCGACGAGGTACTCTATCCAGGGCCGCTTTTCGCCTATCCACCGCGTCGCCTCGTTGCCGTCGAGCAGGGCCATCATCTCCGGGTCCGAGACCATCTTGTCGCGAGGCAGCACCACCTGGTAGGTGGCCTGGCCTGTATCCTGTGCCGGCGCGGCGGCGCGCCTCTGCCCGAGCAGCTGTGCGCGGGTGGCGGACTTGACCCCATCTGCCGCGAGGAGCACGCCGACCGTCACGCGATACGACTGGCCGTGCCCAGCCGTGACGGTGAAGGTGGGCTGCGACCCGAACGTGTCTACGCGCCCCAGCGTGTGGCCGAAGTTGAATTTCACGGCGGGCCGTGGTCTTGCAAGCTTCGTGTAGCCCGCCTGCGAGAGAGGCCCGATGTCCTGTACAACAGGTAAACCGTACTTTTCGCGGATGTCGGACTTGTCTACGTGGGTGAATTCTCGATTGGAGATGCCATCTTTTCGAAGGTGTAGCACAGATGGCGGCGCGAGCACGAGTCATAGTGGCCTCGTAAAGAAGAAGACATGCTGGATCGATCGTCCAAGGGAACTCGCATCTGCTCCGACAATGGCGATGCGCAGAGCTGTTGGACTCTGCGAGTCGGCCTCGGACGTGGAGTTCTCACGAGTACATATTGCTGCTACCGGGGTCGTTCGGGAATATTGAGATATGCTCAAGCATTTGCAAGTTCCTTGACGACAGGTGACGTTCAGCTTGCATTGCAGGACCAGGATCCAGCATGGGTGGCCCGGCTCCAAAGGGGCCTTTCCGACCAGTCACAGTCAACAATGCGCCGGCACGGGCCAAGTTGTTCCCTGGGCTCGTCGGAGAAGATTTCCAGGAACGCTAGTTATAAGATCGAACACGTCGGGAACTGCACCTATCCAACCCCTTTTCATCCTCGGCCTTGACACAGTTGGGTTCGGGCTCGTGGCTGACGTATGTGACTACACGCGTACACGTGCAGGCAAAGAAGTCGTGAAGGCGACGGTGGAGGATCTGCAGCCGGATGTGCTTGTGAGAGACCACCCCCCCGGCGATACTTTGAAGCTTTGGCGCACGCAAGAGCCTCGTAGTGGCTGCTTGGAGCTACGAATAGACGCCGGCCAGGCGTAGCTTTGTGCGTCCATGTGGTCGGCCGAGGAGAGCAGAGAAATGCAAAATATTGCGAGGGCTGTTCGGCCAGATATCAAGACGTACGCTATACCGCCAGGTCGAGATGTCATCGTTGCCCACCTAAAAGAACATATTCGAGCTTTGCTGGGCGGGAAATTTAACTCTGAAATGACAACATGGAAAGAAGACGGGGTGATGCAAAGAGGCTGGGATTTCAGAACAACATAGGCAACCAACCAACCATTCTTGATTATTCCGGCTCCTCGAGAATGGTCACTTGCATTCCGATCTTGGCCGGTCTTCTTTTGAAAAGTACCATGCATGCGTCATTCAGCACAAACACGTCGTAGTCGACTCGTGGCTCGTTTTAAACACTTTGAACGACGTCCCGATGTGCGAGCAGATCTCGTCTCCTCCTCGAAGCGTGACCTTTGGCCTTCTCCCCACGCCCAAGCCTTCGGGTGTGCCGGTCAAGATCAACGTCCCCGGGGGCAAAGTCGTGCTTTGCGACAACAAGCTGACTAGTCGGGAGACACCAAAGATCAGGTCACTGCAGTGCGTACTGCATGTTAGTGAAATTCACATCGGTCCCTTGTGTGCGCAAGGTACTGACTGTACCGCAGTCCCGCAGGATCTCGCCGTTCTTTAAGCCCCTTACACTTAGCCTCGAGGGGTCCTGGATGACTTCGGTCGAGACCAAAGTCGGGTCTGAAGATCGATTAGTTTGAGTGGCATTTTTAAGAGTAATGAGATCCTAGGCAGTGCCGAGCCGTCACTGGCATATCGAGCATGGCCCATCGAAGCCTTTGGAAAAGCATCACTGACTCTGGGCAAACTGGCTCGTACTGCTTGACACGTTGTTGCACGCAGTGTAGCCCAGAACGTGAGCCATGGCTTCTATTTCACCAACGTTCTTGGCGCTTTTGCCAATGACGACGTCAAGTTCTCCTCGTAGTCTCCGCAGTCATCCTGCTTGCGTGAGACTTGGTAGCTCGGTTGGGAAAGGCCAGGGGTCTACGAGCGCCGTATTTGGTTTCCTGAAAAAGCCTGGATGAAGTATCGTGCTCTGACCTCACGTACCTCGGGTGGCACCGCTGAGAAAGGAAAGGGGACTGGACAAACGTGAAAACGGTCGGAAGCTCTCGGATTGTCATATTGACTTCGCGAACATGTTCTCTATACTGCAAGATGCCGTGATAGTATGTGAGTGGCTGATGATCCAGTCGCGCAGGCTGCTCGGAATCACCTACGTTGAGCCCAATGCATCGAGTTGTTCCAATCTCGTCGGCCGCCAACGGGGACGGCACACGAAGGATCTCTGCCGTCTCCGCAGTTCGCTCGCCGGGGGCCAAGACAGACGCTCCGGAGAAACTTGGGCAACAACTGAGAGTCCCTGGCGAAGAGCGACGCCGACATCTAGATTGTGCTGCACCGGCTCACCGATTACCACTATGGATGAATTGGACTTGGGGACGAAATGAACTAGGCCTTCGTTTGCCTCGAGAGGGCCCAGGGTTAGTCTTGTTCGAGAGCTCACATCTCGGTGTGAGTGGACATGTGTAGCATAGCTTGAAAGACGATGAGGACGTGGCGTTTCAAAGTGGAATATGACGAATGGGGTAATTCCCATGCGATGCGATCGATAAACGACTACTCAAGCGACGGGGCTGCCCCTGCCAAGTGCTTTAGATTTGAATCAACAATCAACATATCCTTCTGAGATGGCACCACGAGTAACTAACCTTGTACCGACGTAATGTTGCGTTCTGTAAGAAGACCGGATAATTCTCACGGAATAACTCTATTCGGTCTCTGTCGGCGTCGTCGTCGTGTGTTCTTTCGGTGCTTGCAGGACTGGCCAAAAGGGATCAAGGCATTCGGCCCAGCTCCGAGGCGGGTTCATCAGTCCGGTTCCCACTGGACCATGCTACCATGTTAGTTTTCGAATTCTGATGAGAACCATGTCAAAACATAAAGCGCGAGAACGTTGCTGGCTCAGCCTTTTCCAGGAGCTGTGAGAGCCGTCACCGGCCTCAATATCACCCCAAGGCCGTGCTGAGCTCCGGAAACACTTAGCCACTGCCAAGTATCAAGCAACCATAGTCTCTTGCAGTGCGGACAATGTGGAGAGCAACAGCCTGTTTAGGGTGTCCCTTCCTGACCTTGGCGCCCGTGACGATAAGGAGGCAAGACGCGCGTCAATACGCAGACGCTTTCAAGCAATCGGGGAGCCCGCCATGGTTCTATGCATTGCATTAGCACTGGCGGAAGCTGCTAATGGAATCCTTCAAAAGCATTACATGTGGCGTGGACAGTCGCGCGACACCCCGCTGATTCTCTATATCCCAAGGCCATGTACGGCTTGATCTCTTCAAGCTTGAGGATCAGGGAACACCGAATGACCGAAGTACGGCAGCTGTAAAGGCTACCGTTTCTATGCTGAATCCAGGGCAAAGGGAGAAATCGCATCTCGACATCGACTCCCAAGAGTGGCGAGCTTGGTCTAACCCCGAATTCCTTCAGAGCGACAAAGGCATAAGGCTGGAAAAGGTCGTGAAAGAGTTGCGGAATGCGGTAATGCGTGTCATCGAGGCGTCTCTTTCGCCCGGGGGATACATAAAAGCAGTCGGAGCTATGGGCATCAACGGGTTCCTCGGGGACCTGGTCTAGGCGCCTGCTATCATGAATGAGTTTTCTTACAACTTTGTCATTTTCAGCTCTGGACCTTCTGCCACGAAGCCCTGAGGATTCTCCGTCTATGGCCATCACGTTTGCCTCAATGTCGTCTTCAATAAGTCGCAAATGGTTCTATCGCCATGCTTCACGGGCGCTCAGCCAAATCTCATCGACCAAGGGCATCACAAGGGAACTCGCATCCTGCAGGGAGAGGAAGCCTAGGGCCTTCATCTAATGCGCAGCTTACTAAGTGAAGCCAAGGCGCGAGCTCAGGTATACAAGAAGATGCGAGACCCGGCGATGGCGGCCGGGCGCTGAAATCACAACGATCAAAGGCACCAGTGCGGAGCATACAGGGACAACCGGGTGGTTGCATACGAGGACATCCGTCTCTCCTACCTGAGTCCGGCACAGCGTGAGACGGCCATGGAGATTTTCATCAGTTTCTCCTATACTTGCCTGAAAAGGCGCGCAGCTTGCGACTTTCCGAGACTAAATCCTGGTTTCAAGAAACATTCTTCTGCTGGATCGGCAACTTCGAAGACGCCGACGCCTATTGTTATCGGCTGCAGAGTCCTGTGATAATTGTCGAGCTTGACCATCACTCGGGCGTGCCCTGACGAACGAAAGTTCCATATACACACCCTTCTCTGGACCACCAATGGGGGAGATCATGGCATGATACTACGGAGTTTGATCCCGGGCATGGGACAGACTTTTGAATGGAGCTGAGGCCATCGCAATCGACCAGGAACACAGCGAAGTGATACGGCTCTGAGCTTTTACGTTAGCTTGTAATTCCCGTTTCGTTCAATTTGTTTCTGCATGTATTCATGGCGTTTTCCCCAACCGCTCGTGGTTGTATGGGGCCACGGGCACTTGTATGTCTGCGCGGGGCACGGTGTAACTTACACGCAGCCTGCTGTTGCTAGCTCAGTATTTCGGTGTAGGCAGATACTGCGATAGATCACGCGTGGACACGGGGTTGCATCACGACACAGCGTCGTCGACGACTTGGTGACATGCTGTGTAGCATTTGGGAGGTCAAAGAATGGCCAGCCACATGAGATTAAACGAAAGGCCATCTCAGTCGGCTTCATTTCCGTCACCACTGTTTCAACCAAGGGACGCATCTGGGGACGCATGCCGATACTACATTCATCCGTTCTTCGTACAGACATTGACTTTGCCGCCTGGTGGCCTTACTTGTGGTGACGGCCGATCGAATTCCGATTGGGCTCTTGAAGCCGTCTCGCGCCGCCGTCCATGTCTCGGCCCCCAAACACCGTGTTAAAGACGCCGAAAGTTCGGAAGCTTGTGCCAGACTGTGGCTGCCGCGGTGAACAAGTTCCAGGGTTCAACAAAGTTCAGCGAAAATGCATTGGTATACCACACGTACTTTGTGTTATAATGGCCTCAGGCTGTGTCTAGACCAAGATGCCGGTGTGGCTCAATCCGGCCCGCTTCCCCAGGATCGACTGTTGGATGAGCTCCTACATGTATCCCCCTGGAAGGAGCAGCCACCCCAGTAGTGTAAGACTACACCTTTACATCCATTCATCTCGCCCTTTGTCACGTCATCCGTATCAGGTTACTCGTCAATTCGAAACTAAGCAAGGTTCGTGGCTTTGTCCCATGAAGCCGAGTTAGACTCTTCAACCCATACCATGTTGCCCCAATGGAAGGGTCGCAGCTGGAATAAAGGGCGTAAACGTTTCAGCGAGTGAGGGTTGACACATGTGAAGCTGTCACATAGGAATATATTTCCGGGTCCAGTATGGAGTGTCGCGAGAGTGGTTGTGAACGATACCGCCAGTGCCGAGGAGCCCATTGGAAGGACAGGCTTGAGATATGAGTACAAATCTCGTGAGATTTTTGGTAAGGCGTACTCACATTTTGCCCAATTGAGAGTAACGAGACCAGGCAAGAAGGGGTGGAACAAACAGTTGCCCCTGGCTGAGACTCCGAGAGTATACACACAAGATGGCTACGGTCATTTGCATGCCCCGACTCGTTCGCGCCAGTGCCATCGTCAACGTAATCGACGCCCCTGAATGTCGAGCGTTGCCTTCTCTGCAAGCCACCTGACATTTCCATGAATGCACAACCAAAGACTTGTGACGCAGGCGACCTTGTGAGATTGCTAGCTGGATGAACATGGGTCTTGTCATCCCCATTGGCCCACCATAGCTACAATACATGACCTGGCCGTGCTTGCAGGTGGTATCGACAGCCAAGGCCCACAGAGAGGCAGCTGATGCCAAGATACAGGCCTGCTCTGTACAGTACTGACGTGAATATCCCCGTCGGGTCGGAGAAAAGTGGGAAGAAACCTTGCAATTTCCTTCTCCTAGGACACGGAGATTTCTGGCTTGCGGGGCTCCGATGACTCGAGGTAGCCATTACATCCCACAGCACACCATCAGACATGAGCGAGCGCGGAGAAGAAGGCTGTGGCCTGTTGGAGGAGCCTGAAACAGAGTCGTCTCCACCTCGCAGGCCACCGCGGCAGTCGATGGGCTTCAGTGAGCTCCTTGCAAGTGTTTCGAAATGGACTGTACTGGCCTCTCTGGTGCTGGCGACGGTGCTGGCGCTGCCGCTGCTTGCCTACACGCGCCACGAAAGATTGCCCATTGCGAAGCATGAAAATGAGAAGCAGATTGCATTGGCGCTGCATCCCGAGCAGCATGTCACACGAGGACCAGCGACGCTAGTATTCAACTGGACCATTACCCTGGGGACGAGGGCGCCTGATGGAGTCGAGAAGGAGGTTTACCTGGTCAACGGTATGTGCCTCCCTTTGCGTTGAGGGCATACTTGGGCGACTTATCCAGAAAAAGGCCAGTTCCCCGGGCCAACAGTCGAAGCTCGTTCAGGAGATAGAATCATTGTCGATGTCTCGAATAGGCTCGAGTCCGAAGGCCTCGCCATCCACTGGCACGGGCTGCAGATGAAGGGCCACAACAACATGGACGGGGCCGTTGGGTTTACTCAGTGTCCGATTCCGCCAGGGGAGTCTTTCATCTACGGCTTTGCCATCGGCAAAAAGGAGCATGGTACATTTTGGTGGCACAGCCACAGCCATGTCCAAAGAGGCGATGGCCTTTTCGGGGGCCTGATAGTTCATCGGCCTGGAGTGGTTTCCCCTGTTTCGACGGGGAGTGACGCGCTCCTTTTAATAGGTGACTGGTTCCATCGCAGGCATACTGATGTCTTGAGCTGGTACGCCGATTATGGCAGTCTTGGGAACGAACCTGTCCCAGACTCGCTCCTAATTAATGGCCAGGGCCACTTCAACTGCTCCATGGCCATCCCGGCTCGACCTCTCGTCTGCAGACAGATTTCCCCGACTGATATAGATCCCATATTCGGAGCTCGTGAAAAATCTCCGATGCGGTTGAGAATTGTGAACACAGGCACAATAGCCGGGTTTTACTTCTCGGTTAACGGGGCGTCGGTTCAGCCGTTGGCCGTTGACGGCGCCTGTGCTGTCGACGCCCGGCCTGGTCGTTCCGTTGGCATTCTTTATCCCGGAGAGAGGATTGACTTGGCGCTGAGCTGGCAGGCTGGTGGGGACAGAAAACCAAGCGTGAACATCTATCTTGATGACGAGTATGTTCCAGTCCGGTCTTGCCAGAAAGAGACGCACTGAAAGCTAACGTTGGCAGGAACTTCTCAGGCTTCCCGAATGATGCCCTGAGCCCGAACCAGTCTTTTGTGGCACTGCCAGAGGCCAAAAGAGGCTTTCGGGTCGAAGACACTCCGCTTCTGCAGCTCGGCCCTGATCATCGCGACCTCGGGAGTTTGACGGCGCTCTCAACGCCGACTGCGGCTCTCCCCGCCAAAGCCCAGCAGACCATTCTTCTGTACATGAAAACTCAAAAACTTTCCAGGTTTGAAAACAAGCCCTTGGGGTTCGTAAATCAAACTACTTGGAAGGCACAGACACCACCTTTGTTGTCGCTGAACCGAACATCTTGGAACGCTCATCAAATGCTCCCTTTTATCAACTCCACAGCTCAGCCGAGGGCAGTTGACCTTGTCATCAATAACCTGGATGATGGGTCACATCCCATTCATCTTCACGGTTATTCCTTTCACGTGCTGTCCTCGTTCAGAGCCGAAGGCCGCGATGGCTGGGGCAGCTACAACCCATTCGAATCGAAGCACCCCCCAGCCATCAACTTGGAAAACCCCCTTATCAAGGACACCATTATCGTTCCTCGGCGAGGCCATGTTGTGGTCCGCCTCACTGCAGACAATCCCGGAATTTGGGCGATACACTGTCACATGCTGGTACACATGGGCACGGGCATGGTAGCCGGGCTTCATGTGGGTACTTCCGAGGACTTTGATCACGTTCATGACATAGAATCAGCGGCTGCAAGGCTTTGCAAGGATGGAGGCGGACTGCTTTAGCGGCGGTGTCCGGCAACTAGCAATGCACGCCCGACCGGACGGGTTGGGCAAACGCCCGTGCCTTGGAAAACACTAACGCCAGATTGTGCCACAAAGGGGCTCATTGGCGGCTGAGTGAGGCTCGACTGAAGATGTGACGATACTAGCTGTCCCAAATCCCCTTTGATTCATCGATCTTTTCAACTTTACCGAGGGCTATTAGTCACAGCGACTTATGGAGAGTCAAAATGCGGAGAAGCTGGCCATCATCTTAATTTCAATAATACTACGCTGGCATGGGGAAACGATCCGCAAATCACTGGGCGATGGCCCCTTTTCTACCGCAGGTGCAGGGCCTGGCTCCACACACCCGGCTCGATGTAACCGAGTGATCACCGGGCCCCAATAAACAGCGTGGGCGGTACACAGTTGTTGCTGTACTGGGACCTTTTGCCAATGTTCATACAAAAGCTGCACTGTGAGCAACGCGACGCGAGTTGGGAAGCTTGTAGAATTGCATTTAATACGCTCCAAATCGCCTCGTCGAAGTGCCGAACCTCTTGATCCAAATCGAACCCCCCCCCCTGGGAGTCTTCTTGTGTCAAACAGTCACAAGCCATGACTCAACTTGGGCTCTTGGCCCGGATCCTGGCCACCGGGTTCAGCGTTGTCAATTTGGCACATGCCACAGGGCTGGCTGACATTGATCATGTCGTTCTCTTCATGCAAGGTAGGGCATATTTTGTGGTTGGTTAGTCGCGGTTTACTCCGGTCTTCGAAGCTAACAACAACGATGTCAATGGCGCATAGAGAACCGAGCTTTTGACCATTATTTTGGTACGATGGCAGGCGTGCGTGGATTCAACGATGCCAATCTTCAGACAAATGACGGGGTTCCGGTCTGGAAACAGCTGACGACCACTGACTTGACGAACGAGACGACATACGTGACCCCCTGGTATCTCAACTATCTCGGCGGCAATTGGTCCGAGGCTACGCAGTGTATGATAGCAGGGAGCAACGGCTGGTACCAAAACCATGCTGCCTGGAACCACGGCACCAATGACCACTGGGCCATGAATAACACGCCATGGAGCATTGGATTCTATAAGCGAAAGGATTTGCCTACTCAATGGGCACTAGTGGATAATTGGATAGTCGCGGACATGTATCAGGTATCCAGATCAAAGGCTCCTCTATGCACCCTCCGCAGCAGTTAACAATATTAGGAATCCGTCGTGGCGTCGACGTCACCGAACCGAGTCGTTTGGGCCTCCGGCTCCATCAACGTACCAGGTGGGCCTCAGAAGCCGGACCAGGGGGGAAACCCGTACATTGACAACAACGAGACACCTGGCTGTCAGGGCGACGGCTTCAACTGCTATCCTTTGAAGTGGAAGACTGCTGCTGAATACTATGAAGATGCTGGAGTGTCGTGGCAAGTCTTCCAAGACGCCGACAACTTTGATGATAATGCTTTTTCCTGGTTTCAGCAATTCCAGGACGCCAAAAAGGGAACAAGTCTTCACGAAAGGGGAATCAAGGGCTTGCCGCTCAATACTTTCTACGAGCAGGCCGCCAACGGGACACTGCCTGAGGTGTCCTACATTATCGGGCCGGCGCAGCTGTCAGAACACGCTCCGTACTCTCCCCATGATGGCGCCTGGCTGGAAAACAAGATTGCCGAAGCAGTGATCAAATCGCCAAAATATTCAAAAACAGTCCTTATCATCTCCTTTGACGAGACAGGTGGCTGGTTCGACCACGTTGACCCCTACCGTTCGCCGGATCGAACGCCGGGGGAATGGTTAGATGATCCCTACGGCCAAGTCGGTCATACCTTTGCCGGCCCAGGATTTCGGGTGCCGATGTATATCATTTCTCCCTGGACCAGGAACGGGGGTGTCTATACGGAACACTCGGACCATAACTCGCAACTCTTATTTATAGAGAAGTGGCAGGCCGCAAAGGGTCGCAACGTCACTACTGACGAGATGGTTCACTGGCGTCGGAACCACATGGGCGACCTAGTCGGAGCTCTCGACTTTTCCAGCCCGGACTATAGCATTCCAGGCTTACCAGATGTACCAGAGCCGCATAAAGACAAGCATGGGAATTTTGATGGAGCTGCTCACTGCTCAGGACTATATTCGTGGCCAAGACCTCCCGTTCCTTACACAGGTAACGGAGCTGTGGAAGATATCGACCGCTTAGTTGAGCATGGCTTCAAGCCCATCCGAGGTCGACTTACCGAAGGCCGATATCTCGTTCTAGAGATGAACGGCTACGCGCTATCCGCTCCGCCCCCTTGCACCGCAAGAGACCAAGTTTCCTTGAGCAAATGCACAGAAAAGCATGACGGGCCATCCCAGCGATGGGTGGTTCATGCCGTGGAGTTGGGCGGAGATGAGTTTACTCTATCCAGCGCCATTGATAGACGATACATGTGCGGCAATGCATCCCTGTGTGCTGATAAAGAGAAAGCGATTGTATTCAAGGTGACCTTTCAATCCAGCAGAGGCTATAGCTTGCAAGTTAAAGACAAGAAGTTATACATGGCAGCCACCAAAGAAGGACAGCTATCGATTCAAACAGGACAGGAGTTTTGGAGGATGTATAGTGTAAACTACTAAGTATAAATACCTCTGGTTAGACTAGTTGCGTGGTATTTGCTTCTAAACATTAGAGACGATAAAATACTACGTCACGCCTTGCAGTTTAGAGCGGTTGTGCAAGGCGTACAATCAGCCGAAGGCTGCGAGTCCGCGGGCCAACGGGCCAAGCGGTCAATCACCGAGCAGTCAAATCATCTACAAGCATGTAATTGTTACCTTATCTACGCCCACGGATATTTTCGGCAGTATTTCTCTAATGCGAGTTGCATCACCTGGAGTTACGCTGGCCCGTGGTATGTCTCGTAGGGGTTCCGAGTAAGAACCTGTCGTCTGCGGATCTCCTGATCCCTCATCTTCATTTTGATGCCCTCGGGTGGAGACGCGTAAGTCAGGTGATTGCGGTCAAACGGCGCATCCAGCATCAGACCCTGCAGCGTCTTCACGCGTGAGACGGCCACGTAGCTTAAACCAGTCTGGAAGTCTCGGCAGGACAGATCTGTAACGACCATGTCCTCGGTGATGCTTTGTGACTTGTGCACGGTAATTGCATAGCATACGATCAGAGGAAACTGGGTGCGAGTGCAGAGAGTGGCTCCGATGAAGTCCTCTCCACTGGGAGAATCGGCACAATCTTCCTGCCATCAGGGGTGGTCAGGAATACCGGTCCGCTGTATTTGTCAAACTCCATCATGATAACGCAGGGAGGGTCTTGGATGGGGTCGGCCCCAGGTGCCCAGCCGATATCGTGAACTGTGCCACGAGCGCCGTTGCAGAGGCCAACTGGCTGCCAAAGGTTGGACGTCAGCATCAGACGGGAGCCAATGCATATGGGGATCTGCTTCGCAAGGTTGCCCGCCTTGTCATCAGGCGCTGCCGCGGCGCCAGGGCCTACGTTTTTGGCCATTACCTGGATGACAGGCCGGCCGAGGCGGTCGAGGTGGTAGTGGTTGAACTCGTTGACCCTGTCTTTCGTGGCGTACACCCGTAAGGCGTTGTCGAACTTGCAACCTCCCGATCGTCTAGCTTCGCCTGTACACGACTGGAGAGGAGCTTCCAGGACTCCCTGGATAGTTGGTGCAGTCGCAATTCCCCGAGGGCCGTGCGAAATGCCTCCTGGTCGTCACCACGCTGACGCTGGACAACATTTAAGAAGACCGTCTTGTCGAAGCGCCGATATGCGTTCCGGCCCTTGATCTCTACTCCTGCACTTCCTTGTCGTAATAAAGCGGCTTCTGCAGCACTGGGGGAAGTTGAAAGAAGTCGCCAACCAACAGGATATTCAGGCCGCCAAAGAATTCCTCATTCCGATTCGGGAACGCCTCGCGGAGACGGTCATCGATCCATGATAGTTGACGCAGTCCTAGCATGCTCTTCTCATCAATGATCAGGTACTTGACATCCTTAAGCTTCTTCTGGAGCTGAGCCTTGTCAATCGCTAACAGGGGCTTGAAGTCTTTGTTGATTGGGAGATGCAACAGGGAGTGCAAGGTAGTGCCCGAAATCTGATTTCCCGCAACGCCTGTGGGAGCGGCACGCCAAACAGGCGTTCCCCTTCCGCCTGCGGCGGCTTGGAGGTGGGCGGAGAGTATGTTAATGAGGTATGACTTGCCGGTGCCGCCTCCGCCATCTACGTGGAGCAGCAGCTGGGAAGCGTGCTGGGTCAGAAAGTGGTCCATGACCGTGTCGTACACTAGACGCTGCTCCGGATTTAGGAATCGCGAGCATCCAAGGGTTGATCATCCACCTCAAGGGACATGGGGTTCTCCGCTTTGCGCTGCTTCCAGTAGTCGCCGGTCAGAATGCCACTGTCGGTATACCGTCCAACGTGGGAGTCAATCATAATTCACATCGAGGTCTCGGCGGCCGAGTATGTCGATGTCCTCTTCCCCCAGCGGATGATCCGGCAGCATGCGGGCGAGTTCATGCCAATCTTCTTCCACAACGGGATCCACATGCTCCTCCAGCTCAAACTGATCGTCCTCTGCCCTCAGTTCCTTTGCTCCTGGCTCTCCGTAATGGTCGTCCTCATGGGAATGGTGCTGCTGTCGGCAGTATTGGTACGCGGCCGCGAAGATTCGAACCGCTGCCCGCCCACAGTGAGCAACTCCTCTGGGTAGCGATGCGGATGGACCATCATCAACTTGACACGGCAGAAGTCATTAAACTGGGAGAAGCCTCCGGCCGGTACCGAGGAAGTAAGACAGGACCCTCTTCTTCGCGTTCGCACAGAGTATCCTCCACGTCTTGAGATTGTACGACTGAAGGTACTCAAGGTAGGTTACTCGTTCATGCTGACCATTTCTCTCCAGATATTTCTGGTAGCTGCCGACAGTCTCATTGACATCATCGTCGACGCGGTACGACCGCGCATGATGCTCAACGGGCGGCAGTCGACGTACACCACCATCCGCGTACCTTCCTGCAGAGGATGTTGAGCAGCAGGTGGGAAATCTCTTACGCCGAGTAATCCCTCTCGGCAATCAGCTTATTCATAAGGCGAGAGGAGAGAGCAGGGGCTGAAGGTGCGCTGTGTGTGGCAACACCTGGTCGGCCAGCTTGCAGTATGGCTCGGTCTTCTTCTCAGATTTGCTGCAGTACTTCGCAGCGTACGTAATAACCGCCTGTAAGCTGGTGCAGGAGATATGTCGATATTGGCCAGCCAGCCTAGGACAATAGCAGGATTGAAATGGTTCATGAGGCTGTCGTTCCGGGCCGCCTCGAAGACGAAGTACGACCTTCCTTCCTTCCTCATAACTGCGGCCAGCTCCGCAAGGCGCGAGGAAGTCAAGCGGCACTCCTCTCTGGATTGGCCGCATTTGCAGCCTCGATATCTGCAGCAGCCGCCTCCATGTCCCTCGCTAGATCGCCCGTTCGCTTTCTGACGCGCAAGCAGTACGTGGTATTGCATTTGTGACGCTGGCAGCGGTTGACAATTTGCGAGAGCCGCAAGAACGTCATCTCCGTGCCCAGCGGATCCGCGCTCAGGGGATTACCCTCACCTTGAGGCACAGTCCTACTCGGCTCGGGGTTGATAGCGGTGATGTGAAATCCCCACGTGCGTGCGAATACCTCACGAGCGGCTTCGTCCTCCATGTCGGTCCCGGGCAATCCTCCATCCAGTACAGGCCATGGTTGTGCGGGCTACCACGGCCCTGCCATTCATACCGATCCCAGTAATCCGTGACGTTGAACTTCTTCCTTAACACGATATCCCGAAAGAAGCAGTATCGGCGGTAGAAGTGGAAAGCTGCAATGTGAGGTTCTGCCGCAATAACTGGCGGGATAGAGCCATCCTCTCCGACTCGGATGCGGCCAGCCATTCTTCATATCGGGGCATGTGTTGGTAGAGACTCCGCCAGTGCAGATCTGCCGGGCTAAATGTGATGAATGCAGCAGGACAGCCAAGGTTATAGGCATAAGCCTCCAGGTCCTGCCTCTTTTTGTTCCAGAAGGGGCGTGTACCGCGAATAGACACTGCGTGTCTTGTGATCGAGTTGATCAGCGCCTGCGCCTCAGGGTCCTCGCTGTGCTGGAGCGCCTGAACAAGCCGCTCTCTTGTGAGCGCTTCATGAGTGCCATCGTGCTGCTTCACAAAGAACTTGGACCGTGTACGTGCCTGTGACCGCATTAGAGTGTTGAATGCGACGAAGCGGAAGGTCGGGTGGCGGGCAAAACGCCCGTCATGCCAACGCATCGCGTGCTCAATGTAATCCTTGTAATCAATGGAGCGTAATCGAGGCTCAACAAAGTCAGCTCTACCGTCAGGAAAGAGGCAGGGAAAGGCCAAGGAGAAGGGCATGAGAGCGATTGAACTCGTTTATTGGCGTGTGCCGTATATTCGGGAGCTGCAACTCGTGTTGCGGCCGAGCCTGGACGTTCGTGGAAGCTCTGCATCAGCTTCTGATTCTCTAGTGAGAATAGCCCGCAGAGCATCGAGCTCCGTGTCCTTGGCCAAAGGTCCGGCACCGCAGCTTCGTCCTCTAGGTCAGGCTCTGCCTCGTGATCTTCCTCGGGTCCAACATCGGCAGCCTCCACCTGACTTTGGGGTATTGCATCCAGGATATTGCCATTCTCAGGCAGTTGGCTCAGCCGCTCTTCGTCGATAACGATGCATCGATAGCCAGGATGATGGCGCCGCAGGTGGTTGAGCCATATCACAACCGCCTGGCGGCGCACGGGAACTGGCGGGTGAATTGCCGGCTAAGATTGGCGTGGGACGACGTATTGGCAGGCCGTAATAATACAGTGTTCAACTCCTGCGGCAACAGCGGGAGCTGGTTGTACACTAAGCCAACCTCGCGGAGGAAGTGAACGACGTGCCCCCGATATTTGTACTGCTGCCCTCGCACAAGCATAATGTTGACGTGGGCGTGAACGCGAGCAATCAACGACTCTTCGGTAGGCGTAAGCTCGGGCAACCGGGCCGACACAGGGCCAAAGTCGAGCTGATTATCCGCAGAGAAGAAATACGGCTCGCGGGGGCCGCGTTTCGCATCCTTTCGATAGCAACGCGCACAAATGCCGTCGGTATCGATATTCATCTGAAACCAACTCTCTTGGCATCGACTGCAAAACTGCATTTGGTCATTGTCCAGCTTTGTCCAGAACTCGCGGAGGGTGGTCTTGTCACGGTCAGTCAAGGCGCAAGCGTCGAGGTCGCCATTCCACGCCGGATCTTGTGCGTGAAATACCGCCGACTGTTCAGGTGGAATCATTACCGGGCTCCGAACACGTCGTGGCGGCCTCAACGGTCGAGTTTGCCTTCGAGATTGTCTCGGCCGCCCTCCTGTACCTGGGGCAGGACCACGGCCGCCACGCCTTGGCTGTGCCGAAGGCTGCCGCATGCGATGGCGAAGAGGGCTTCCATCCACGTAATCATCATCGCTGTCCTCGTCTTCGTCCCTAGATCGGAATCGGGCTCCACCCTAATTGTTTGAGGTACCGGCGAGGTCAGGCGGGTGAAAGCAGCAAGTTGAAGTAGTCCTCAGCGTCAATATCGGACTCAGAGAACTGGCCGCTGTCATGTCCTTCCCTCCTTACCTCATCCCCATCTGGAAGCCCAATCAGCTGCGGTCGATCTTGACTCGCACCTACGTTCCGTGGTTAGCGCAAACAAACCACTGCGAGCACAGCGCAAGGATATCTTCTCCAGGAACCTCCGAACCTTTAAAGACGCCGAGTTGGGATATTGTGGGAGTCGGTGACACAATCTCCCCTGCACGACGCCGTGAACGGTGGCCGCGCTGGATAGCGGCCTGCTTGGCCCTCGCCCCAGTCTTGGAGGCATCATCTTGTGAGTGCTTCCCACCTTTGTGGAACCTAGACGCTAGGTAAGAGTAATCTTTGTCGGCTATGCTGATGCTTCGTACAGTAAACGGACTAGAATCTGAGGCGATCGGATGGGTCGTTGGCTGTACGGTGGGGAGGAGCAAGAGTCCGGAAGAGCCGCGAGCTCTGTTGGGTTGGTGGAATTGGCGTCCCAAGCACTACCTGGGGCTGGCTCTTTGGCTCTCGAATAACCTCCTAGTTGTATGAAGTTGCCGTAGCTTCTCTGGCGATGTGGGCCGGGTTCCGGATCTCTCGTTGCAAGGCGATAGACCAGCATTCCCTTCAGTTCTCTTCGGAGCAGGTCTCTCGGCTAAGGAAGGACGGGCGGCGAGATTCCTCAACGTCAGGGTCGCGCCTCTGGATCTGGAGTTCTTCATTTAGTTAGCGTTGAATGGCCTTACGGAGTGAGGAAGACGGAGCTGACATGAGAATTGCACTGACTACGACAGGCGAGGCAGTTCTTGGTCTTCCAAACAGACTTCCGTTTGCTGACGAAGTCACCCGCCGGTTTCTCCTCGCCACAGCGGGCACAGACGATGGAAATCAAGTCCATCTTGAAGCCCTTGAGGAGTAGACTTAGGACTCAGTACTTCGCGAACCACGCATCAAGACGCGTTGCTTCAACGAAGTTTCCACGTCAAGGCGACGCGCAAGTAAACAAACCAGGGTTGCTACGGGCCACAGACACCTAGTCCCACATTTTTGCAGCCGTTATCCAATTGTTGCACGTTTTGCGGCCGTCCATACAAAATTCGGGCCAATCAGAACTCGGGAAACTTATTGACCCCTGTCTGCACCAAACCCTCATTATTCGGGAAACTTATGGATTGATGTAGAGTCAGCCTTCGGCTGAATAAAGGGTGCAAAATATAGATGCTTTCCTAAGGGGCTTATTATATACTAAAGAAATAAGGGTAGCCCCGATAGACGCCTATAAGCTTTAAATAGCTATTATCTATAGTAAGACCTTAAATAAAGGTTATAAATTATTTTATCTACCTAACTTTATATATTTACTATATATATAAATAGAAGACTAATAAAAACTAAATCCTATAACTTTATCTTTATTAATAACTAGTATATAAATAGGGAATTAGATATAAGCCTATAATAAAGGCTTATATATATATCTAGAACTAGGATAAAAGAAGTTAAAAGTAAGCGAATATCGGATAACTCTAGTAGTCTTAGTAGAGGCTAAACTAAAAGCCTAGTCTTTAAGACGTAGTATTTATAAGCTGCTAAAACTTCTGATTTATATTGTTAATTGGGCGAATGGTTTAGTGGTATAATTTTCCCTTAGCACTTTCCGGGTCGCTTGGGAAAGGTCCAGGGTTCGATTCCCTGTTCGTCCATCCTTTAAACGGCTTTAATTTTTGCTCGGTCGCTCGTACTTAGATTCTACGCAAAACTACCTCTATTCCATTCTAATAAACGGCTATGTTTATACTAAGATATCGATATATTATATTAGTATTGCCCCTTACATTTAATAATTCTTATTCTTTAGCTATTAAGGGATAACTAGGTCCCTTTACTATCGTGCCCTATATTATATATAAAGTCGTATAACTTACTAGACATAGCAGGCCCGTATAAATAGGGACCCTGTCTACCTAGTTACTAGCTTAGGGACCAGAGCTACTAGCTAGGAAGATATTACCTTATATCTACTAGATCCTACGGAAGTTACCTTATCCTTAGTATCGACTTACTATACTAGGGTATAACTACTTAGTCTTTTTATAAAAGCTTATATAGGTCGACTCCTAGGCTTTTACGTTACTTATAGATTAAACTAATATAATAGTTATTTAATTCTCCCCTTACCCCCCCTTTCTACTTAATAAAACCCTTAAATAGAAGATACTTATCTCCCCGATTAATAGTTTAGCGTGCTAGCACTTAGCCGAGTTATAGTAATTAAAGAACTATAAAAAGACGAAGCTAGAGCTTCTTTCTTTTTACTTAAATTAAGGGCTCTCTAAATAGTAATTTAGTATTAAAACTATAAAGTTCGTAACGATCGCTATACTTACGCTTAGCTAGCTCTTAGCTACGCTTCTAGACCTAAGTATAAGCGTAATAGAAGAGAAGAGAGCTATAGTAAATAAGACCCCTTTTAATATTACTATTACTTAGCTACTAAGCGACGGCGATTTATAAGGAACGGTGTTCCTACTATAAATAAAGTAGCTATAATATACTCTCCTAATTATATAAGCTAATAAGTAGTATATTAATTATAGATAAAATCCTATCTTATAGAGTAAGAATCGCTCGTTATTTTATATATTACTATATATAAAACGGGTTGCCGGTTATTATATAATCGGGAGTCGAAGGAATAGAGCTAGCTTAGAATACTAGCTAAGACCTCTTAAGAATACTAGCACGACTAACCTCCTTTAAATATAAATACTAGTAGAACTAATATACTTCTAGCTATACTCGAGGTATTATTAAATTCCTTAGTCTTAGGGCTATATAGTAGCTTAAATCTAGTCCCGAAAGGTTCTTCTATTTAGCTATAATTATCTATATAAGGTAGTATATCCGCTAGTAAATAAAGATAGAATTATTAACTTTAATACCTCTTCTATATACTAATATACTACTAATAAATTCCGTTGAAAATCCTACCTTATACTCCTTCTTCCTCTCTATTACGTAGTCTTATATCGCACGGAGGATGAGCAAGTGGGCATAAAGATCAGGGACTGGAAGACTCTTGATTCTGCTATCTAAGGTGGGAAAGAGGCGAGATCTTTATAGACTGCCTGAATATGAGAATGGAAGGGAATGGTAGTGAATGGAAGCATCTGATCAGATCATCTGGAAGCCACTGATGCGTTGATGATGCCTCCTAGAAGTTTCTGTGGGGAAATGTGGAAACGGACTGTGCGAATAGGGGAATCAGACTGTTGGAGGCTGATATACTCTGTGTGACATACCCCCCCCCCAGGTTGTGCTGGCTAGTGGGCAGTGCAAACTGAAGAAAGAAACTAGATCCCTAGCAACGTAGAGTCTGATACCAAGGAACCATTGTAATTCCCCTTGGTCTGTCATCGCGTACTTCCTCTTGAGGGCTGCAACCATCTCATCAGCTGCGTCCTCGTTTTCCTTGCGATAGAGGAAAACAATATCGTCAACGAAGAAGAAAACAGTGAGCCAGTCGTTCTGGAAGATGCAGGGTTCGTCGGGACACTGTGTAAGACCAAGCTCTCTGAATGCAGCAGTGAGTTCCTTCTGCCAAAGAAGAGGGGACCGTCGGAGGCCATAGAGGGCTCGCATGAGGCGAAGAGCCCATCCCTGTCTGTAGTATCCGTCTGGGAAGGCTACATAGACCTCCTCCTCGTCTTCTAAGAGGGCGTTTGTGAAGGCATTAACTGCGTCGAGCTGTCGGGTCTCAAGGTCGAATTTGGCGGTGATGGCCATGAGAATCCGGAAAGAACGTCCTGCAAGGGTTGCTGCATAGGTGTCCTTGTCACCTAGCTGTTGAAGATCTCCTCGAACACAAAGACGGGCTTTGAACTTTGTAAGAAAGCCATGCTTGTCGAACTTATACTTAAAGACCCAGGTAAGTGGCAAAGCTTGCCCGTGACCTGGTCTCTGGGGACCGCTCTGAAGGTTCCTCTCTGTTGGAGTGCTTTCCACTCGGCGTGGGCTCCTTCTCTGAACTGAGGACCAAATCTGTGGGTGCGAAGTTCCTTATACGTCGTAGGTTCGGGAGGAAGGTGTCGTCTGTGAAGTTTTCTTCTCTGCCGAGAAAGAAAGAGCTGTGGAATTGACCCTTAGTGTTGGTCGAAAAAGCACTGAGCTTGCGAGGCTTTGGAGTGCGGGCTGAGCGCCGTGGCTGAGAGTCACTCGGACCGGGGTCCGGTGTCGGATATGGGTGCTGAATGTCATGAAACTCATCCTGATCATCCGAGTCCTCATGATCAGATGGTTCGGGTTGTACCACAATCGTGGTGGCGTCTCCTTGGTCTGAGGTTGAGGAGATTGCTCAACGGGGTCAGGTTCAGGTTCATCGATTTGAGTGGGGATTTCCTCGTAATCCGACTCGTCCTCGATGTGGGCTGGAAGCTGTACTTCCACGCGCTGTGGGATAGGTTCTGGTGGCTGATCATTTCCGTCATAGAAGATGCTTTCATTGAAGGTCACATCTCGGACCCTTCGGACTTCTGATGTGGACGGAATCCAGATCCTGAAAATGTTCGTGGAATCATATCCAACGAGATAACCGATTTCTGTGTGAGGTCGGTCTTTAGGTCCTTCTTCTGTCTGTTCTGAAGGGCCTGGGGTGTCAAGGATAGGCTCTGCAGCCGTATGCCTTGAGAAACGTGATGTCAGGCTGGTCTTGCTGGTAGCCTATGTCTCTGTTGTTGTCTCGCAGCCACTGATGAAGCAGCTGGAAAGGCGTTCGGAAGCTGTGGTTCTGCATGGGCGATCTGTTGTGCAAAAACACTGCTGCTTTCCAAGTCTCTGGCCAAAGATCAGATGGTAAATTGGCATCAATTCCCATTGTTCTGGCCTGGGCAGATATTACCCCCAGATCGCTCTGCAGAGCCGTTTTGAGCGGGAGTAAGGGCAGAAGGTTCATCTTGAATCCCTTTTCCTCGATCCAGCTCTCATACGCACTCTGAAGAGAACGATCGTTATCACGGTGGATAATGCAAATATTGAGATTCCATTGGCGTTGAATCATTGCCTCATGGTTTCTCAAAGCAGTCATAACGGACCCTTGTGTCGCGTCATTCAGAAGGTAGATGAAGATCATGCTTGTAAATTCATCTTTGATAAGAAGAACAGCTTCCTTGCCGTTGAATGAGGTGTTCATACTGAAGATATCAACGTAGATTCTCCAGAATGGTCTGGGGGCTCGGTTTTGAGGGGTTCGGCGAGAGACGACCTTCTTTCCCTTCCCAAGGGAACACGCGGTGCAATCGATGGTAACTGGGCCTTTGATCTTCGAACCCGTCGTGTTCTCAACAAGACGCTCTAGGGCTTGAGCGTTCAAGTGGCCTAGGCGCTTATGCCAAAGCGTAGCATCTGCTGTTTTCACTGCGCGAGGTGCAGATGAAGATGTGAAGTTGGAGGCGTGAGAGTCCTCCTTAATCGGGTTGAACTCGATGACCGGTTGACGAAAGCGGCGTTTCGTATGAAATATAATCTGATCGTCTTTAGAGACGCGTCCAGATAGTGGATTCCAGTTGTATCCCTTCGCAAGAAAGCGGTAGAGGGTGCGATGTTGGTGTGGAATTTTGGCACGAAGGCAACTTCGTTGAGCTGAAAAAGTCCTCCTTCTTCAAGCTTCATACGGACTGTGCCGTAGCCAAGGATCTGAAGTTGACTATCGCCTGCAAAGAGCTCTTTTGGCTCTGCAAGGGCGGTGTAGTCAAGAAAACGGGATCGGTTGTTGCAAATGTGTGTGTCTGATCCGGAATCAAGGATAAAGGAGTCATACAGCGGGTAGACTGCCTTTCCCGTCGAGAAACTGGTTGATGGAGGTGTTGAGGAGGCGGTGTGTTGTCAGGAGCTGGTAGAAGACCGGCAAACGCTGTGCCTTTAACGGAGGAGTCGGACGATTTCTCCATTTCCTTCTTCTTGAAGTCTTGTGCTTTCTCCGTCATCTTCTTTGCCCATGGATTGAGTCGAGGATTTCCTTGATCTTCTTCTCAACCTTCTGATCAGGAGTCCAGCCATCAGGCCGAGCTGATTTGATGAGATAGAAGCAATCTACGAAGCGGTGATATTCTCCGCAGACACACATAGGAACACCATCAGCGTTCTTGCTTGAAGACCACTTAGGCTTGTCCTCTTTCCTCTCCGATTTCTCTCCCTTGCCTTGGAAGGCAGCTCCGAATGATCCTTTGCTGTTGTTGGCGGCCTTGATTCGGTGAGCTCGTTCAAAGATCTCACTGATCTTAATGCCGTCCGGGAAGTCCGTCTTCCAATCAGGCTTGCCGAATACGGCCTCGTCTTCCATTTTGTTGACCCAATAGTCTGTGAATGGGGCGTTGATGGACGAAACAGCCTGTAGGAAATCTTGGGTAGGGCGAAGGTCCTGGACATCAGGAAGCCCTAATTGCTTTGCCTCAGTGAGGACTTTCTGCCATTGGGTGACCCAAGCTTCGATCTTGGTCCTGTTTGGCGACTGAAGGGTGGAACGATAACGCTGAACAACTTCCCTCTCGAGTGCCCAGTCGGTTGGGGCCACACGAGCCTGAAGCAAGGCAAGTTGCTTTGCAACGTCGTGTTCCTCGGCAATGGTGCTGTAGTAGTTGCCGATGGTCTTGACGATGTGTTGTTGAAGGCTGGCGAGTGCCTTCACTTGATCCCTATACCCTTGAAGCTTCGAGCGGTATTGGGTGTGGAGAATTCGAGACGGCGAAATTCCTCCGAGGTCAGATCCACGAGATCAGATGCTTCGTGGTTGATTTGTCGGAATGTTGGTTCAACTGGCTGCTGAAGAACCGGCTTACCCTCCTTGACGGCAGGGTCCAGAAAGTCCCAAAGACTGTGGGACGTGGCGAATTTCTTGATGATAGAAATCCATTGTTTCCAGTCGCAAGGGCCGTTGAGCACGGTGCCCTTGGAAGAGCCATCAAGATCTAGAGCTGAGCTCATTGTGGAAGCTATTCTGCGCAGCAGGTGAACAAGAATAAGATACCCAGTCAGTGGCAGACCGGGCTCATAACTATCGCACGGAGGATGAGCAAGTGGGCATAAAGATCAGGGACTGGAAGACTCTTGATTCTGCTATCTAAGGTGGGAAAGAGGCGAGATCTTTATAGACTGCCTGAATATGAGAATGGAAGGGAATGGTAGTGAATGGAAGCATCTGATCAGATCATCTGGAAGCCACTGATGCGTTGATGATGCCTCCTAGAAGTTTCTGTGGGGAAATGTGGAAACGGACTGTGCGAATAGGGGGTCAGACTGTTGGAGGCTGATATCCTATGTGTGACATCTTATATAATTCCTTAATTTCCTAAAATTCTACTATTACTTATATACCTTAAGACAGCTAGATCTATATAACTAAGGATATCGAGGACGTTACCTATTATAGGATACCCTATAATCGATAATCTAGGTACCTATAATAATATCTACTTCCCTTAAGGAAGTTACTACTAACTCCCTAAGGCTCCTTATAGAAGAAGGAACCTAGAAGCTACTAGGTAAACTCTAGGAAATTACCTAGAAATCCTAGAAATAATAACCTAGTAGATTATATAGATATTTTATAGAGATTTCCTTTATAGATATAATATATAGGGAATATACTATGATTTCCTAAGTAATAATAGCTTCTTAAGGATTATATTAATATTTTCTTAAGAAGTTACTATAAGATTATAGTAGGGAAATTATAGGGAAATACCTATACTTACTTAGGGAAAATACTAAGAAATACCGCTAAATATACTATACTAATATTATATAATTATAAGGTTAAGATATTACTTAGTTAAAGCCCTAAGTAGGGTCTTATACTCGCTATAGTATATATAAAAGATAGAGAACCCTTTAGATCTTAGGCGGGTAAAAAAGAATATAGATAGTTATTACTACTTTTACTTTAACTTATAAGACTAGTTATTAGTCTATATTTAATACTCTTAAGGTATATAAGTAAAAGCGAAATTTTAGGAAATAAAGGAATTATATAAGACTATATAATAGAGGGGAAGAAGGAGTATAAGGTAGGATTTTTAATAGAATTTATTAGTAATATATTAGTATATAGAAGAGGTATTAAAGTTAATAATTCTATCTCTATTTACTAGCGGATATACTATCTTATATAGATAATTATAGCTAAACGGAAGAACCTTTTAGGACTAGATTTAGGCTGCTATATAGCCCTAAGACTAAGGAATTTAGTAATACCTCGAGTATATTAGGAAGTATCTTAGTTCTATTAATATTCGTGTTTAAAGGAGTTTAGTCGTACTAGTATTCTTAAGAGGTCTTAGCTAGTATTTTAAGCTAGCTCTATTTCTTTAATTCCCGACTATACGATAACCCGCAACCTATTTAATATATAATAACATATAAAATAACGAGCGATTCTTACTCTATAATATAGGATTTTATCTATAATTAATATACTACTTATTAGCTTATATAATCGGGAGAGTATATTATAGCTGCTTTATTTATAGTAGGAACACTGTTCCTTATAGCCTCCCTTAAAGAGTAGATTTATATACTCTTTACTAATTTATTTATAGTAATATATATATAGGGTAAAAACCTAATTTAGGAAAACTATTCTTATACCTTAATAGGATATAAAAACCTATTCTTTCTTAGGAAAAAAAAATCCTTAGGTATATACTAATAGAAAAACCTATAGTAGGAAAAATCTATAGTTATAATAATTATTTATAGGATAACCTTATATAAGGTAAAACCTATTATTACTAGGAAAGTCTTAATAGATAAAAACCTAGTAAATATTTCTCTAGGAAACCTAAAAAGGAAAAACCTAGTAGGGGAAAGATATAGAAAGTATAAGAAATATCTAAAAACCCCTTTTAATTACTTAGGAACTTATATTAAGGATAGACCGTCTTTAAATTTATAGAGTAATCTAGGTCTTAATTCCTTTATAAAAATATTAGCTATATTATCTTCTAATTTAATATAAAAGACTTTAATTTCCCCTTCTCTTATACTAGTTTTAGTATAGTAATAGGCTAATCTTATATATTTAGACCTTTTATAAAATTCCGGATTTTCTATTAATTTAATAGCAGTAGTATTATCTATTAAAATAAGAGGTATAGTATTAAGAATCTTAATAGATAGATCCTTAGTAATATTTTTAAAAAGCATATTTAAATAAATAGCTTCTTTATTTACCTCCTTAAAGCTAATATACTCTACTTCGTAAGTAGAAAGGGCAACGGCTTTCTACTTAGAGCAAGCTTAGCTTATTATATTATTATATATATAAAAATAGTAACCGGAAAAGGATTTTCCGTTTATTAAATCTAACGACTAGCTAGAGTCGGTAAAACCCTTTATATATAGATAGGTAAAAGGGATATTATAATTATATTTAATCTTTAGGCTAGGGAATTTATTTAAATATTTCTAAATTATATTTAATGCCTTAAAATACGTTTAGTCGGGCTTAGCTACGAATCTAGCGTAGGAAATTATAGAATATAAGATATCTAGCCTAGTAAATAAGGCTAAGTATAATAGAGATCCTATTTCTTTCTAAAATTATAATATATCTTCCTTAAAAGGTAATTCCTTTGCTTTTATAAGCTTAAAGCCTATTATAGCGGGTAAATTCGAAGTTCCTAAACCTTCTTTATTAAATTCCTTTAATTTATTTAAGGTATAAATTTCTTAGGATATATATATCTCTTTATTTTCTCTATTTAGTATAATATTTAGACCTAAGAAGTCTTTTATATCTCCTAAGATAGTAAAATCTAGGAATTTAAATAATTCTTTAAATAATCTTTCTTTTATTATAGATTTAAAGGGCCCTACTATAAGAAAGTCGTCGATATAGATTTCTAAGGCTATACTATAGTCCTTATTTATAAATACTCCTTTATCTATTAAAAAGGAAGAAATCCGAGTTTATTTAGTATAATTTTTAAATAATTATACTAGAGCTTAGGACTTTATTTTAGGCTATATAATACTTTCTTTAGCTTTGCTTTAATTTAACCGGTTTTATATAGGTCTAGGAATTTAGTTAATTTAATTCCTTTAGCTTTATAAGCTAATCTATATTTTAAATAATACTCTTTAAGAGCGTATTCTTCGTAGCTTATAGGAAGATCGATATATACTTTACTATCTATATCGGTATATACGAAGGCATTTATTATATCTATTTATAAAACTTCGAATTTATAAATAATAGCTAAAATAAGTAGAATTCTAATAGACTTAGGTCTAGCTATAGTCGAGAAGGTATTTAGGAAATCTAAGCTATAGATCTACTTAAATCCCTATATTACGAAACGGGCTTTATATTTTATTATATTATTTTAACTATCCTTCTTTATAGTATAAACCTAGCGGCCTCCTATAGCGTCCTTATCCTTAGGGAGGTAAGAAAATTCCTAAGTTTTATATTTAATTAGCTAGATAATTTCCTTAATTATAGCTTCTTTCTAAAATGCTACTTCGGGGCTATTTATTACCTATTTATAGGTCTTTAGAATTTTTAGATCTTAATTTTCTATACTAGCTAGAATTAACTTTATAAAATCGTAGTTTAAAAATAAATTAATATTAGGGTATTCGATATAGTTAAAATCGAACCCTTCTAGCTTCTTAGGTAATTCTACTACTATTTTACTAGTAGTAGGAATAGGATTGTTATTTAGAGACTCTTCTTTTATAAAAGGCAAGGGACTTTTATCTCTAGGTTCTTTAGTAGCTTCCTCTATAAAGATATAGCTTTCTAGCTTATCTTTATTTAGAATAAAATTAAAATCAAAGGTATTATTACTACTAGAAATTTCTAGATTTTTTATAAATTTATTTTCTAGTATAGTAATATCTCTAGAGATAGTAATCTTTCTCTTAGTAAAATCCTAGATTTTATATATATTTTCTAAATAGCCTACTATTATTCCCTTAAAAGCTTTATTATCTAGCTTATCTTTAGGGTCTTTATTCTTATAATATATAAGGCTTCCGAAGGTCTTAATTTTATTTAAGGTCTCGAAGGGTAGTATTATATTATCCTTCTTTTCTATAGGACTTTTAAGTCCTATTATAGAATATAGTAATCTATTATATAAATAGGTAGCTATTAAAACAGCTTCTCCTTATAGATATTTAAGAAGCCTAGTAGTAAATAAAAGAGCTCGTACTTTTTCTAATATAGTACGATTTATTCCTTTTATTCTACTATTAGATTCTAGCGTCCTAGGAGGACTAGAATTAAAGGTAATTCCTTCTTTTTCGTAATAGAGCTTTATTTTATATATAAATTCTTTAGTATTATTAGAAAATGCTTCTCTAATCCTAGTATTTTTAGGGTTATTTTCTACCTTATTTTTAAATTCTAGGAACCTATTTAAAGCTTCCCCTTTTTTTCGAAGAAGGTATATTTCTAGATATTAGGTTCTTATATCTAGGAAAGAAATATAATAGTAATATTTATTATAAGTAGGTACTTTAATTAGCCCCTAAATATCTTATACTATTTTTTTTAAATAGGTATAAGACTTATACGAAGGTTGTTTATTAACCTTATTCGTTGCTTTAGCTTTAATATATATTTTGCATTATCTTATTTTATTTTCCTCTTTTAGAGGCATTTTTATATCCTTATTATATCTTTTTAATATTTCTAAAATAGCCCTACTATTTATATACCCTAGGCGTAAGTGCTAAGTATAAAAATCTATATCCTTTGCCCTTAAAGATATAATAAGGATTAATTAGCTTTCTAATAAAGGTTCTATAAGAATATAATATAATTTATTTCTAAGAAATCCTTTAGTAAGGACCTTAGCTTTATTATCTAATAAAAGGACTTTATTTCCTCCTATTAAGGCATAGGTATTATTAAAATAAGATTAGGATAGTATATTTACCCTTAATTTAGGTATATAAAAGCAGTCTCGAAGAAT